CTCTGATTGGTCGGATGGAATTCAACCGATTGTATTCGCTAACACAGGGACCAGACCCAGACGTTACATGCAGGAAATGATGATTGAGCGGAGAGTACGGATGGATAAGGCCAGGCTAGTACATGTGCATCATTTTAACGTTTTTTTCCTAAGAAGCTCAAATTTGACATCTTAATTTCATAATAACTAAAAAGGTGAAAAGAGATAGAGGCTTCATGTAAATTAGAGAAAGGATAAGGATGGTCCAAAGTTTATGTAGGAATTAAATGTAGCCTTCTAATTTGCATATTATGACATATTATGACACACAAACAGAACTCACATCGTAGCTCACTCAAGGGTTTCAGGGAAATCAGAGTAAATCATTTTGTGGCAGGACTTTGAATGAATTTTGACACAATCAGTCGTTTTAAACAGTACCGCATATTGTCAACTTTAGTCAACCGTGGCACCTAGAGGGTTAACACTGTATACACCAATCATATGTTATAACAGCCTCTCTCTCCGGTCTCTCTCTCTGGTCTCTCTCTGGTCTCTCTCCGGTCTCTCTCTCTGGTCTCTCTCTGGTCTCTCTCTGGTCTCTCTCTCTGGTCTCTCTCTGGTCTCTCTCTGGTCTCTCTCTGGCCTCTCTCTCTGGTCTCTCTCTGGTCTCTCTCTTGTCTCTCTCTGGTCTCTCTCTCCGGTCTCTCTCTCCGGTCTCGAGTCTCTTGCTGGTCTCTCTCTCCGGTCTCTCTCTCCGGTCTCTAGTCTCTTTCTGGTCTCTCTCTCCGGTCTCTATTCTCTTTCTGGTCTCTCTCTGGTCTCTCTCTGATCTCTCTCTCTCTCTGGTCTCTCTCTGGTCTCTCTCTCTAGTCTCTCTCTCTGGTCTCTTTCTTGTCTCTCTGGTGAGGGACTGGTGCTCTGCATACTGGGTACAGCTCTGACTGCCACCCCCCCGACGCAGAAATGGATTAAGGTGGAAGAAAATGGATGTATGGATGGATGTTAAAACAGCAACAATAATACAGTGGTAACAAAACTAGCAACACACTAAATTGTAACTAAATGTAGCATCACAGCTTGAGGTCCTTTGATCCTTTAAAGAACCGTGGAGCCGTGTTCGCCGATAATGACTGTCTTTTCGTTTTTGCTTCCTCCGTCGGACCTGTCTGCTCATTATTGGGGGTAGTTTGGCTCCGTGTTCCTCTCTGTGACACAACAAGCATTATTAGCCATGTCCTGTTTGACAAATCATTAGCCCCCCTTCCTTTAACATGCGTTGCCATTACACTCCGGCCTCTGCCCTCCCTGGTCATGTGATACTGGCACTTACTTAGAGATCGGTTTCATTTTTTAATCTTGGTAAGTGGATCTTGCTCAGCCTCAGGTCATTTTGGAGGGAATTAAGGAGTCCTGTGAAGTCCTGCGGTTCCTGTTCCCGTTTGCACATGGCATCGTGTTGTTGTTTCTCGTATTAAAGCTGAGAGACCTGACTTTCAAACGACTAACTTTCTCTCTCTGGTCTGTTTCTGATCTCTCTCCCGGGTCTCTCTGTGGTCTGTTTTTGGTCTCTCTCTCTCTGGAGTCTCTCTCTGGTCTCTCTTTCTGGTTTCTCTCTCGTCTCTCTCTCCGGTCTCTCTCTCTGGTCTCTCGCTGGTCTCTAGTCTCTTTCTGGTCTCTCTCTGTTTTCTCTCTGGTCTCTCTCTCCAGTCTCTCTTTCTGGTCTCTTTCTCTCTGGTCTCTCTGTGGTCTCTCTTTGGTCTCTCTCTCTGGTCTCTCTCTGGTCTCTCTGTGGTCTCTCTCTCTCTGGTCTCTCTCCGGTCTCTCTCTTTGCTATCTTTCTGGTTTCTCTCTCTCTTTGGTGTCTTTCTGGTCTCTCTCTCTTTGGTCTCTCTTTGGTCTCTCTCTGGTCTCTGTTTTTTGAAGTATGCAAAAGATAACATATTTGTAATAAGATGCATGTTTTGTTCGGATTTGTTCATATTTTTTATGTTGGGACAAAATACTGCATTATTAGAGAAAGAAAATCAAGTTTACAAACCCGAGCTTTAACTGCTGAAGAAATGTGGAGCTACCAATGTGTGTCTTACAATACTGTCCGTTGTTCGGTTCTTCTTGGTTCCATTGAAGAACCAACTAAATCTATAATGAAGACAAGATGAACCTTCCGGAGCTATTTACCGCTAGAACTCCCAGAGCAGTCAATTCGACTGCTTTTAGTTTGAACATGTAAATTTTTTCTGTTTCTACTTGTAGTTAATTTCTATGTCATTGTTTTTTTGAAATTATCTTAATTGTCTGAAACACAGTAGTTCTACCTTTGACCCCCACCGCCGTCATTTTGACTGCTCCATCAATTTTAATGCAAAATTCAAATGTTGCAATTTTCGGTCGCTTTCTTTCTATGACAATTAAAGCCCTTTTTTCAAGGTCCTGGACCCTTGTTTTTCCACTGGGGAAATGCAAGTACTGGTTACATCAGGGGGGGCGGGTCCCGTCTCAAACAGGTCCGTGACACGTGCGCTGACATGTTTGTAATGTGACTCCTTGCCGGTGGGGGCGTACAGGAAACAGAATTATCCAAAGCATTCTTATGGGACCTTTTTTACTCTCAAAAACAGCTGTACCGCCTGGTCCAAATGCTCTTGGCTCAACACTAAGTTCCAGATGCTGTCAATGCTGAGGGGAAGACCAGCCGAGTGTATCTGCTGTGGAACTTTTTTCAGCCATGTTTCAGGCTCGTACAGCTAACGCATGCGCCAGCGTTTTTTTTACAATTTCCTGTGGGAGGGAAACTCACGGCCATTTTGAAAAGGTCCATGATAATGATCACACATTTCACCAAAGTAAACAGGCGTCACCCGTCCGTTAATATTTGCAGTCTATGATTACCATAGCAACATCCAATAGCATTTGGTTGTTAGCATTAACCTTTCAGAAAACTGTCTTTGCTGTTTTAGCACATATTAAAATAGAATAAAAACCTTATAAATAACTTACTTTTGTTAACATTGGTGAAAATTTTTTGGGGTAATTTCTCAGAACTCCATTGGTTTGGTAAAGTCAGATCCAAATCATTTCTTAATCTACCAAGAAGACAATGTTTTCTCTTACATGTATGTTGTTTGTTTGAGGCTGTTGTTGCATAATGGTTAGATCTGGTTAGAAAATGTTCAAAGTAGTTGTTTTAATATCCTCCTCCTGCGTTGGTGTCACACACTGTATGTTTATGTAACTCTGCCTGCTCCGAAACAGGGACGTCAATTATAAAGAGCAACAGTGACACCAAAGGATCTTCCATCTCGTCTACTGTGCCGCTGCGTTTAGATCCTGTGTTTGATCCTGAGACTTATCCACAAACTCTGGTCGTTTCTCGCAGCAAAGGCGATGAAATGAGCAAGAAAGGGTTCAGAGCCAGTTGTGGATAGTGTTATGTAGGGCTGTGACGATATATCGATTTTTCGATATATCGCGATACTTTCGTTTTTTTTGTATTATTTTTTTTTTTTACAAATTATTTTTTTTGAATTGGTATCAATACTTAATATATGGCTACATTACGCATCTCCATTCCATTTATCATGAAATAAAGTGTATTTTTTTCTTTTATTTATGCCATAAATTGGCATATTGCATATTTCTGACCAATATATCGATAATCGTCATATCGTGATAAAATTGTTATCGTGATATCGTTATCGTGAGCTTTGTATCGTGTATCGTATTGTATTGTGAGGTACCCTTAGGTTCCCACCCCTAGTGTTATGTAATCCTGATGCTATAGAACTCTCCATGTACTGAAGGAATGTTCTCTATATGCTTTATGTTTATGTCACTTTGTCCCAGACCCTTTATGCTGCTTTGTACAGATGTTTACATACAATTTTATATATATATATATATATATATATATATATATATCTTTCACTAGAATATACAGTATTGTACGCTTGCTTCCTTGTTATGCTAAAGCTATAGATTTTATACTTGTATGGATGGATCTGTAATTTCACTTTTTAAGCAACTGTGGTAAAAACCGAACTTATCATTAGGCCAGTAGCAGAGGCCAGTGAGTTTCCACTTGAGGTTTGGTTCATCTGGAGGCCGAAATTACTGGCACCATGGCAGCTGCTGGTCGGACTGTCTATGATTCCTTCACGGTCGGCACTAGATCATAAACGGAATCGAGACGAAACCGGAAGTAACAATCCTACTTTAGAATTAGTTTTAGACTAATAAGTCCTTGTGTGGTGACTAGGTGTCTGAGTAAGATGGTTAAGGTTAGGGTTAAGGGTGGGTTGCGGTTATTTTATGGGAATGGCTGGTTAAGTTTAGGCATGAATAGGTAGTTTGTTATATTTACTTCCGCTTCCGTCCTGATTCCGTATATGATCAAGTGCTGACCATTCCTTCATGGTATAATATCCTATGCACAAAGCAAATCTCTGTCTGTGTCGTCTTTGTAACATCAATAAAATGTCTTCTGTCTGCGACACGATCCCAGACCGATCCGCATCTTGTCTAATGTTTTGAAACTTCCTTTTTATGCTTAAATGTGCAGTAAAGAGTTCAGGTTAGCTTAGCGGTAGCATCTGAGTAGCACCGACTCAGAACCACTCCCTCTTCTCCCTGCCCTCCACCATAACCAACATCCCATTGATTTCGTTCTTTCGGTCCGCTCCAAAATATTTATAGTTTATTTTTTGAGCTTTCAGGCATCTGGTCCAATCCAATTTGAAAACACATAATAACTTGAGTACTTTTGGGGATTTTGGAATGTTTCTCCACAGTATTGTAAAAATTGCCTCTGGATAAATCATTGACTGCATCTTTAAGTTAGAGATTGTATTTTATTTCATTTCCGTATAGAGTTATTGTTAATTTATTTTGCGCTCTGTGCTCCTCATTCCTACTGTTCTGTATATTGATGGTATACCGTGTGTTTCAGGACCAAGAGCGACTGGGGAGGCTGACGGGAGCTGCACACAGGGGTCCTGGTTAGAGCATGCCCGTGGTGCGTCATGGCCTTGTTGGGGGACTGGCTCTTACGCCATTCGGTGGTCATGTGTTTACTGCTGCACAGCCTGGTGCTCATGACCTTCTGCTTCCATCACGCCGACACCAGTTGCTCCAAGAACTGCTACTGCACGAAGGGCGACACCAGCGGTATCACAGTGCGCTGTAGCAAACTGAAGCTCACCGAGATCCCCCACGACCTCCCCAACGACACCAGGCGCCTGTTTCTGGACAATAACTCTATCAATAAAATACTAATCAATGCTTTTGCAGCGCTGCCACATTTAGTAGAACTGGACCTATCGCATAATGAGATAACACAGCTTGAGCCTGGAGCTTTCGGTGGACTGGGATCCTTGCAGTTTCTGGATATTTCGTCCAATAAGTTAGAGAACTTTAGGGCCGAGCCGTTTGAGGGCTTGAGGGCTCGTGCCAATCTCACCAACAACCCCTGGCATTGTGACTGTAACCTTCAGATGTCCCTGCTGCGTGTCGATCTGGAGCCTGCCTCTCTCACAGGCATCGTGTGCCACACCGCTGAGCCAGAGGAGATCGGAGTCCAGGGGCTCGCCTTCCTCCTCGCACCAGACATAGACCTCTGTGTTTATATGAGGAGGACTACAGATGTGGCCATGCTGGTGGTCATGTTTGCCTGGTTCACTATGGTCATCTCCTACTTGGTCTATTATGTCAGAGCCAATCAGGAAGACGCCCGCAGACACTTGGAATATCTAAAGTCTTTGCCGAGCCGACAGGGAAAGTCCGAGGAGTCTTCAAGCATTAGTACTGTGGTATAGCCCCGACAGAAGCCTTGTGTGCGTGCGGATGCTCAGGGCTGAGTTGGAAGGCTAACTATCTATCAGCTGCGATGGAAAACAAGGCAGATGCAACCCAGAGCCAATGAATGATTGATGTGTCAGAGGCCCATTAAGTCTAGTATGGCTTCAGCTGATGCCCTTACGTCTGCATCAAAGGAGTAAAAGCAGCGGTACGTCTTGGTGTACGAATCTGGAAGTATAAATGGCATAAACCCAGTGGTGCATGAGCTTGACGCGCTTCTCTCTTACTCGCACAAGCTTTTGGAACGGGAAAAAACTGCAGCCACAAAGCACCGCTACAATATCTGACTGTAGAAGCACAACACTCTCATAGTATTTCAAATTGACCAACTCTATACCCAGTAAAACGTTCACCATGACCATGTGTTGGTTTCTCTTCTTGGTGCCATCGCAGTATATTTGATCATGTTTCATTATAACAGCCACCGACACAACAACATGACATTTCTGATTCTTCATACACGATGTAAGTTGTGCCAATGTAAAATTTGTTCTCAATAAACTAAATGATTTTACCGAGAAATGCCATGGAAACCTTTATATACTGTAGGTGTATAAAGAGTGTGGGTGGTCACAGAAGACAGACCAGGAGTGTGGATTCGATTCAATGTCTTCTTGTATAGCCCCATATCTCAACCGTAGTTAAAACCGTTGAATCCAAGAATGGGTTCGAATCCCGGTCGGAACAGGGCCTTTCTGATTGGAGTTTGCATGATCTCCCCGTGCATGCGTAGATTTCCTCCGAGTGCTCCGATTTCCCCTACCACTAAGAACATGCACACACACTAGGTAAAATCCTCCAGCTCTGGTCCTGACCAAGCCGAGCATCCACATTTGGAGATGGGTTCCCGGGCGCTGTTACTACGGCGACCACTGCTCCTGACGTATAAGCCTTAGTAGCATCAGGATGGGTCAAATGCAGAGGATGAATTGTCCTAAGAGGATGTATAAAGTGCACCTTGACCTGATAGTTGAGTGACTCCAATAAATCTGCACAGAGCATAGCTTTGCTCCGTTCTTTCTCTGGGTGTGGAGCTGGGAGGCAATAACAAAAGAGGAAAAACGAAAGATCTTAACATGTTAAAACTGAAACATCTTTTTAACAACTACTCCTCCACCGGGGAATGCAAATGCCTGATCTTTCTGGTTTTATAAGTAACACACACACACATGTAAGTAAAAAGCACACTATGATACATATTTTGCATGTTCTCTATAAATAATATGTAGAAATTCAATATGCTGCTGTACCATTGGCCTTTAGAAGTAATGATATGATGCAAAATGTGAGTAACTAGTCTGTTTAGGGTTAGACTGACTGTGAGAGTCAAGACTAAAAAAATCACACATTCCGAGGCACCATGACATTACACTGTAGTTTTAATAGTCATATAAACACACACAATGATGCAGCCTGATGATAATGAACAAGTAAAACCATAGTGTTACATAATTTATTTTTTAACCTTTTATGTCTTTGCTTTTTTTTGCATGGAATTTCATTTTTGTTTTTCCGTCATAATATAATCTGAGAATATTGCAGTCGGCTGGGGGCCAGGAGTGACCTATGAGAAACAGCCTCACAACCACACAAACTGCAGCCTATATGCCATACATACAGTATTCTTACTATATTTACATGCTATGGGCATAAAACTACTCTCTATTGTTGGCTTGAGGTATCCACAGCCACAGGGAGATGGAAGACTGACCTGTAGGATGCTTTTGAAAAGTGACTCCAGACAAATGGACGGTGCATTTGTGGCTCCGTAGAAACTAACAGCTTTCGGAGCTCAGAGCAAAGTGTATTTTGTGTTTAGAGAATTGAATCAGGCTGAGATCAGAGCAGGATTTAGACTGTTTTCTCGTTAGTGAGGAAAGAGTCCGCACCCTGCTGAATAATGAAATCTGATGTTCTGAAATGTGGAAAAAGGATTGTGAACAAGGGCATCCCTGTCTCAGACACAATGTATCATGAGCAAAGCCGGCCAGCTAAATAATGCATGACACACTTGAGAGAAAAGTCTGGGAACACACCTGTCATGTCTGTGTGACCCACTTCTTATTGTGCGTCTGTTGTCACCACATCCACATCTCCACTTCCACATCTCCACATCCACTTCCACATCTCCACTTCCACATCTCCACATCCACTTCCACATCTCCACTTCCACATCTCCACATCTCCACTTCCACATCTCCACATCTCCACTTCCACATCTCCACTTCCACATCTCTACATCGACATGGAGCAGCTTTATTCTAAATTACAGGTCTATCGACAGACACAACGTCTCCTAGTCATTTATTTATGTTGGTTTGAAAAGATATGTACATGATAGTCCCAATGTTTATGGTGACATTTCTCAAGCAGACTATTCAATTACAAAATGGCTCTTTTTCTCCTTTGGGTTGCCAGTTACTTTGGTGAAATCCAGCTCTTTTGGTTGCAGATAAACTCCAGCATGTTCTGGTTCTCAGCTTGGGAACTGGATAGATATCAACACACGAGGGCCTCATTCTTCGGGTTATTTTCACATAAATGGATTCTTTTCTAACCGGTAATGCAGAGTTGATAGTTGGGGTCATAGTCTTCTGGCTGAAATCCTCCCAAACAACAAAAAACTGGGTCAAACACTGTCTTCATGGGTCCAGCTCCTCTGTGCTCCAGGGGAACATCACACCACCAGCGGAGACTGAAAAACACGTAAAACTATTGACAAAGCAAAGTCTCATTAAAGTGCATTGAACAGTCAAAGCGTCAATATTATTATTTTCTTTTCAACAATCAGGTGATACTTGATAATTTCCAAAGTCACACTAACGCACCACAAAACACTGCTCCAGGATTCCTTTGTTTTTTATTTCTTTATTAATGTGACGTCTCCCGAAACACCAGTCTGTAAAACCTTTAGAGACAGTTTGTGATCACAGTGTTATTGACTCGTCTCTGAGCTGTGGTCTGTAATAACTGTAGCACTGACCACATCATGGCTACCAAGATAGATACAGATGTTTTTCACAAATTTACACATTAGATTTGTGTTTGCCCATTCATTTAATCAGCAAATCTGACTTCTGTTAATCCACATTAGGCCTAAAAGTGCTGGTAGTTCATGTCTCTCTCTTCACAGCAGAACATTCACTTCAAATAACTTAGAAAGAACCCTGTCGATTTTTTTAAAAACACAGATTGGGTTGTTTTGAGCCCAGCATTTGTAGATTTGATGGTTTTTCAACAGTGAGGAGTGAAGGTCCACACAGAGATACTTACTATACTTCAGCATTCCTGCACCAGAGTGTGTCACAGATGTATTCATGTTTATACTTTACATGTTTATACTTGTTTAATATTTGATTGTATTTATTTTAAAGTACACACACACACACACACACACACATAAACAGACAAATACAGACATACACACACACACACAAACACAGACAAATACAAACACACACAGACAAACACACACACACACACAGAAAAACACACACAAATACAAACACACACAGACAAACACACACACACACATACACAGACAAATACAGACAGACACACAACGTAACACAGATAGACTTCGACAAATACAAACAGACACACAAACACACGGCTCTGTCAGCCTCACAGTCGTCTCTCCTGCGCTGCTTTTGTCCGTGCATGTAGGACAGGTGTGTGTGCAGTGTGTAGATGTAGGACAGGACACAGGTGTGTGTGCAGTGTGTAGATGTAGGACAGGTGACAGGTGTGTGTGCAGTGTGCACGGCGGGGGACCACAGAAACCCTACACCGGGCTCCCAGGCTCACCGCACAAATGTAGCTGAGGTTAATTTACATTTCTGAGCAGCTCGCTCCGCCCGCTGCTTCAGACACGTTACACTGGTGTGAGCATTACAACTGCGGGTAATGGGACTCAAAGTGGAGGATAAGGTGACGCATCCAATCATGATCCAATCCCACTGAGCGCTCGCTGGGTTCGGTTGCAGACCAAGTTGCAGACCATGATGTTGCAGACCAAGTTGCAGACCATGATGTTGCAGAGCCGGTGAGATATTTCCCCACCAACATCTGATCAGAAAGCAGATCAACGTGATATTAGCGCTGAATTCAAAGATTGATGAGTTTTTTCCCCAACGCAGAGCAGAGAACCAACTCCTATCAAATCCTGCTATAAGAATTCTCTCTTGCAGCGCCCTCTGTTGGTCTGAGCAGGAAATTCGCCCATTCATGGTGAGTCAAACATGATTGATCTACTGAGTGAATAATGTGTGATGTGCATGGGACATACTGTATAATGGGGGCAAGTATAGAAAGATGTATGGATCAGATCATAGGCTGACAGACAGGCAAGAAGACAGACAGACATGTAGACAGACAGACAGAGACAGACATGTAGGCAGACAGAGACAGACAGACATGTAGACAGACAGACTTGTAGACAGAGAGACAGACAGTCAGACATGTAGACAGACAGACAAACAAATAGACAGAGAAAAACAGACAGACAGTGGGTTGAAAAAGTATTTAGTTGTTGTGCAGGTTCTCCCACTCCCAAAGGTGAAGGAGGCCAGCTCTTTGGTCTTAGCCATCGTGGAGTCTGGAGTGTGACTGGTGAAAATTACTGGCCTCCCTCATCTTTTTTAGTGGGAGAACTTGCACAATTGGTGGCTGACTAAATACCCTTTTGCCCCACTGTATAAACAGACAGACAGACACACACAGACAGAGACTGACTGAGAGACAAACGGACAAACAGACAGATAGATAGATGGATAGATGGAAAGATGGGTAAATAGACAGACAGACAGACAGACAGAGGACATTAAGTGACCAGTAGCTACAGTGAGTCAGTAGCTAGTGACACAAGTGATATATTGGCACATAACATTATAATATTATAATAATCTAATGTAACTCAAAAGTGCTGCATTTAAACAGTATAGTGCCACTTCTGTCTTGATCCCATCAGACCTCAGAGCAGAGCCAAACCCCAGCTGCCACAGTTTAGGCTTCACACACTTGTATTAGTCTGATGTGTGCGTGGACGGTTGGTGGAGGTGGGAGGGGCCGATGGCACATACTGGATGCCTCGCCTCGTCAGTGTGCCCTAGGGCAGCGTTGGCTCCAGTAGTCATTTGTGATTTTGTGGAGTGACTGAATAACGCTTTGTGAAGCATTAAGAAAAGTGGTTTGTCCGACCCATGCATTGTTACGGATGTGGTTCTATGACGTGAGTATTTGGCTGGGGCTTGTGTGTTTCAGATACGGAGATGGTCTGGAGAGGGGAACCAGACTGGGGCAGAATGAATGTGTTCTGCAGGTCAACTCAGAGGTGTTCCAACTCATCTGCCCCCTTTGGAGTGAAACACAGGTACACAACACTACAACATGCGGCGAAATGTGGACATCGGTGGCACGGTGACTGAGTGGTTAGCACTCCCGCATCTCAGCAAGAAGGTCCTGGGTTCGAATCCCGGTCGGAAGGGAGTCTTTCTGAGTGGAGTTTGCATGATCTTCCCGTGCTTGTGCAGGTTTCCTCTGGGTACTCTGGTTTCCCCTACCATTAATTCTCCAGCTCCAGTAGTCCTGACCAAGCCGAGCATCAACATTTGGGGATGGGTTCCTGGGCGCTGTTGCTAGGGCGACCGGCACCTTTACCTTTTCTACACAGTTTGGCCCTCAAGCCTATTGACGTACTTACTATACTGAAGTAAAGTAAGTAAGTAATGTTTATTTATATAACGCATTTTTGCAGACCAAGGACTAAAGCACTTTACAATTGTTGAAAGTTCAGATTTTGTGAGACGCCTTACACACTGAAGCATCAAAGCCTCCAACACCATCCATTCACTCGTACATTCATTGTTATGTATAGTATGACCTATTGTATATGTTTTTAGTGGAGGGGGAAACTGGAGCACCCGGAGGGAACCTACGCATACACAGGGAGACAATTCAAACTCCAATCAGAAGGCCCTGTTCCGACCAGGATTCGAACCCAGAATCTTCTTGCTGAGAAGAAAGAATGCTAACCACTCAGCCGGGTCAACAGTCAATTACAACATTTGTTTATTCCATCGTGGCAGCACAGACACTTCTACTCCCACATCTAAACATTGATGCAAGAAGTGATTCATATTCTTAAGTTGCTAAAGTCATTCAGCTTCTGTAGAAGTGGAAGTGAAGCATTTCCTAAATAGAGCAGATCCGCACAGACCTCCTCATGTCCGGGCTTGTTCTCTCTGTTCCCTCTGTGGTGGAATTTGGGTTTTTCAAACTTTCACGTCAAATTGCTGTGAAATGCATAGTGTAGTAGTGTAGTATTGTAGTGTAGTATTGTAGTGTAGTAGTAGAGTAGTGTAGTAGTATTGTAGTAGTGTAGTAGTGTAGTAGTTTGAGTTTGAGTTTATTTATTTAAGTGTCATGCCCACTTTATAAAAGGGCCCAGCCCACATGGGCTTATGTGACACTGAACAACAACTTCTGATGGCTACAGACCATATACAGACATGAAAAACAGAAAACAATTTACAATTTGGTGCATTATACAGGGTACAGAATTTGTTGTCTCCTCTCCCAGGCTTTAGCAACAAAAGAAGCAAAGGCAAAAACTTCATGGCAATACATCCAGTTCATAATTTCTCCCTCCGGCCACCAAAAGACCTCTGGGTTAGAAGCATTTACTTTTTCAAATAAAATATAATGTCTTAACTTATGTTTCCTGCAAATATTAAGTTTCCATGTAGTGTAGTAGTGTAGTAGTATAGTTGTGTAGTAGTATAGTAGTATAGTAGTGCAGTAGTATAGTATTGTAGTTGTATAGTAGTGTTGTAGTATAGTATTGTAGTTGTATAGTAATGTAGTAGTATTGTAGTATAGTAGTATAGTAGTGTTGTAGTGTAGTAGTATAGTAGTATTGTAGTGTAGTAGTATAGTAGTGCAGTAGAATCCATGGCTGGGAAAGCCATGTTCCAGCTTCTTCCCTCTGGCAGAAGATATCGCTCTCTGAGATGTAGGACATCTCGTTACTCTAACAGTTTTTATCCACAGGCTGTTATCAGTGTGAACAGAGCACTTGATTTGCAATGATTTGCACTTGTTTTGAAACTGTTTTAGTCAATCGATTTCACAGTGACATTTGTTTACTGTTTTATTTGTTTTATTTTTGTCTTTTAATGTTGTTTTATGTCTGTATTTGTCTGTGCACACTGGAGACTTTTGCTAATGTATTCCAATGTGGTTGTTTTACTGCAAATGGCAAATAAACTGAATCTGAATCTGACCTAGTATAGTATTGTAGTAGTATAGTAGTGTTGTAGTATTGTAGTATAGTGTAGTATTGTAGTAGTATTGTAGTATAGTATAGTATTGTAGTATAGTATAGTATTGTAGTATAGTATAGTGGTAGTGTAGTAGTGTAGTAGTATAGTATAGTATAGTATAGTATTGTAGTATAGTATAGTATTGTAGTAGTATTGTAGTAGTGTAGTAGTATAGTAGTAATACAGTAGTGTAGTAGTATAGTATTGTAGTAGTGTAGTAGTATAGTAGTAATACAGTAGTGTAGTAGTAGTGTAGTAGTATAGTAGTAATACAGTAGTGTAGTAGTATAGTATTGTAGTATAGTGGTGTAGTAGTATTGTACTATAGTATTGTAGTAGTATTGTAGTGTAGTAGTATTGTAGTGTAGTAGTATAGTATTGTAGTAGTATAGTATTGTAGTAGTATAGTGGTGGTGTAGTATAGTATTGTAGTAGTATAGTATTGTAGTATAGTGGTGTAGTATTGTAGTAGTATAGTATTGTAGTAGTATAGTGGTGTAGTACTGTAGTATAGTATAGTATTGTAGTAGTGTAGTAGTATAGTATTGTAGTAGTGTAGTAGTATAGTATTGTAGTATAGTAGTATTGTAGTATAGTATTGTAGTAGTATAGTGTCAGGTCTTTGGTCCATGGATCCACACGATGGTGCTGTTGATGTGTGTGAAGACCTCTCTCTCTCCATCAGGAAGCAGCAGGTCTGGGTTTACAGACAGATGCTTGATAATCCACACTTTAAAATAATGATTATTGTGGTTCTGGTTCTGACAAGGAAGAGCTCAGGACACAGCAGTAGGTTTCTGGTCCTTTCTCCACAGCTTCATGACTGTAATGAATCTACTTTTGTATCTATCAAGACAAATGTTATCCTCTTCTTCTTTCATTTGGAGTGAGACAGGAGTTGCGTTGTGAATGTGCATAGACAACAATAACGGGAAAAAGCATTTTTTTTAAAAAGTTCAAAGGAAATAACTGCTTCCCCAAGGACCAGACTGATTATGCATCGTATTTTGACTCATTCAGTACAAGTGAAAGAATCCAACTTCCTGAAAAAAAAAAGCCTTATTACAACAGAATTTACACATTGTTGCTATGGGCCGTACATCGTCGTACCACATAGACACATAGACTTTCATAGAATGCCAAATGAGTGTTTTTTTTTGTGGGAAATCCCAAATCTGAACAAACTGAGAGCAGCATATGTAAGCAGACACATGACTGTAAGTGTCACTATAAGCACTTAAAAAGCCTCTCTTGGATCAATAGTATAAGTCATTCTCCTGACAGGCCATGAACATCCTGACTGGTGAGTATTCTGCTCCTGCTTCAAACTCTCCTGCTCTGGGTAAGGGGATAGGAGACCCCTGGACCCTCAGCCGATGGATCTCTCTGACAATTCTTTTTTTAAAACCATATAATTAGTCATGACCCTCTGCATTAGGACAGTTTTAATAGAGCTGAGTTTCATTTTACAAGCAATATTCCCATCTTCAGCACTCTAGCTATTTTGGCCTGGGGGGAGACATGCCCTGTACTGCTGCGCTTTCACACGCACACACACTCACGCACACACACTCACGCACACACACAGGCGCAGGGGAGAGAGACTGGCTTTGTTCTGCCTCTCCCACATGACCACTGCAGCTCTGTGTGTCTCTGTCTCTCTGCTCCTGTGGATGTGTCTTTGTTGATTTTCCTCTTGCTGATTTAGTTGCAGTGTGCGTGAGCGTGCTCTCCTTCATGGCCACGATGACGCATGGGGCACCTCTTGGAGTCACTGCACTTGTTGGCCAGGAGCAGTTTCAGGATTTAGTACGAAGGAGCCAGAGTTTGATACAAAAAATCTTGCCTTCTATCTCAGAGGTGCACCGTTCTGCTGTTTACATTCAGGTGAGTGGATGGAGTGGATGTGATTTAGGCTCCACTGCACCTGAGCCATTATTCTAAGAAAAACAGCATTTTTGTTCAAATCTAGAAAATGTCATGTCATGATCTCTCTCTCCATGACTTGCTTGTTTGTGTCTCATCAGCTTGATTCTCAAAAGAACTCCAGTTTGGCGATAATGGCTTCCAAGATTGGTATCCCTCAAGCCCCTATTCTCAGAGTGGTGTCAGAAAACTGCACTTTGGTAAGTGGGACTCTAATCCTAAGCCTCTCAAGAGATCAGGTGATTTAACTTACAAACCTATTTTTTATCTTGTTTTATTATTGACCTTTATTTAACCAGGAATGTTTAAATGGCTGAATGAATAAATGCATGAATGACAGCTGGTGTAGTGAAGCTTCCATCCCCATCGTCCAATCGGCCTCATGACCTGTGTCCACAGGAGACCAGTCTGCGTCAGATGTCTCAGGGTCTACAGCTGCACCAGGATCTGCTGAACGCTGTCCTGCCTGAACTCGAGAACGTGAAAATGACAGATCTGAGCAACGACATCCGAGACCTGAAGCTGCAGATCCACAAGGTACACACAGGACGCAGCCACAGCACCACAACGTGACAGCATGATGTTGTTTTGACCTGGACGAACTTGGTGTTTCAGATGCTCAGACTGGTCCTCAGCTCTTCCCCCTCCCCCTCGCCCTCCTCGCCCCCCACAGTGAAGCCCGTGGTGCTGCGTCTGTCTGGGGAGTTCGAGGTGCAGGTGGCGGCTCACTGCAGCCTGCAGCAGCTGGAGGCCTTCAGTCAGGACGTGGTGCGCTGCCTCCGGAGCATGGAGCGCAGCGAGGACGAGCCCGACAGCTGACACTGTCTTTCATATCATGTCATATTTATTTTTACACTTAAAAGTATCTGTATTTATTTATTTATGTAATATTTATTTTTGTTATAACTTAAGACTTGAATATTGATATAATTTATATAGTTCTGAAGCTTGTTACACTTTTCCTCTACTACAAACACAGGCTTACCCTGCACAGGTCGTCCTCTGAAAATGTTAAGGATGTATTATTTTGATATTTAATTAAACACTATTTTGAATATACTATAACAAACTGTTCATACATTATTTGTGCAGTAGTTTCATTAGAATTGAGTCTGGGCTCCGCAGCAGTGGGCGGGTTGCACCACACTGATGACCTGCTCTTTCTCAATCAGCAGCAGGTCTGTGATGTCACATCCTGATGCTTCTGTCACATGAGGTCAGTCATCTGAGCGTGACTTCACCAAACCACTGAGCAACTTCAAACAAAACCTGGGAAACCATTACTTCTCTAATGATGTTTCTAGAAAAGTGAAAATCAAAACGCATTAACAATGAATATTTTATTTAAAATTATTTACAGTTTTCAGTTGAAAAAACATTTGGATACAAGTTTATGACTTGCTTTGCAGTTTGAATAATAAAGGTCAGTGCGTCTCATAAAGCAGAGATGGCTTTGGCTGCGACTCTCCTCCCCAGGGGCAGAGACAGGTCTGTGATGGCCAAGACTACGTTAGGTTTGGCGAGGGCTGGCAGCTTCACCAGCTCTGAGACCTGCACAGAAACACACACAGACCCACGTTCTGCAGAAGCCATACACGTGATCTGGACCTAGACTGGTCCACAGAACATACTGTACACCTGAAGGCACAAGCCCCAGGGCCAGATGGAACAAGGTTGGACAAGCCTTCCTTATCTCGTCCAGATCTCGGCTTTACTCACCATGGTGAAAGGCATAAACTGCAGAATGCTCCCACGACTTCCCTGCTCCAAACATTCCACACACTCCTCAATAAAACTCTGCACAAACTGTGTGTGAGGCCCGGCCATCTTCGAGCCAAGGATTGAGGAAATCAGGAGGAAAAGGTTGGCTGCAGAAAGAAAGGGCACTTTATGTGTAAGAAAGGATTCTTCCAATAACATGCAGCTCCACCTCAGCACCAGGTGAAGCAGGCTCCGCCTCAGCACCAGGTGAAGCAGGCTCCGCCTCAGCACCAGGTGAAGCAGGCTCCGCCTCAGCACCAGGTGAAGCAGACTCCGCCTCAGCACCAGGTGAAGCAGACTCCGCCTCAGCACCAGGTGAAGCAGACTCCGCCTCAGCACCAGGTGAAGCAGACTCCGCCTCAGCACCAGGTGAAGCAGCTCCGCCTCAGCACCAAGTGACTCACCCAACACTCTGTTCAGAGGCTCCCTCATGTTCACAGTGTGCAGCTGCGAGGCGGACAGGGACGTGCTCATGGACCGATCTCCTGCACACAACAGACACACAACAGACACAAATCAGACACACAACAGACACACAACAGACACACATCAGATACACAACAGACATACATCAGACACACAACAGACACACATCAGACACACAACAGACACACATCAGAGCAAGGATCAAAAAGGACAAGTATTACTGCTGGGTGCACTAGTACAACTAATATTGTACTTTGACATTCAATACTGTTCCCAGTGTTGGCCTCTGCCAAGGCTGCCCTTTGTCACCGGTTCCCTTCACTCTCTTTATAGACAGAATTTCTAGGCGCAGTCAGGTGCCAGAGGGGGTCCAGTTCAGAGACCCCAGGATTCCATCTCTGCTGTTTGCAGACGACGGTGTCCTGTTGGCTCCAACGAACCAGGACCTGCAACATGCACTGGGACGGTTTGCAGCCGAGTGTGAAGAACCAGCTCTGAGGCCATGGTGCTCGGAAAAAGGTGTCTCGCCCTCTCCAGGCGCAGAGGTCCCTCCTCAAGTGGAGGAGTTCAAGTATCTCAGAGTCTTGTTCATCAGTTTCACTACTCACTAGTTCAGTATTAGTAGTGGTGTTTATTTCGAATTACATGCGCAATACAAAACAAAACAAAAAGAAGAAACATATATAAGCACAATTCGAAAAGGAGTAGGTAGAAGTGAAACTTATGCTTCCTACCCCTTGTTACAAACTTTTCTCTTTACAGGAGTTCAAATGATATACAGGCATATTTCTCTCAGATATACAATTTACACTCGTCTCCATGAATAGTAATTTTAAATGCTGATTTCGCACCAATGATGTTCTTAGGTCTTGTTGTCACTTGTCACTTGTTGCCATTTTTACCCAAAGCTGTTTATTTAATGTTAACATGGTTATGTATGTAGACCCTACATAGTGCAGTGCATTAAAAACAGTGGGTAGAATGAGCCAGTCGAGAGAAGGTAATAGCCCCCACTCAACCCGCCCCACTCCCAACCTCCCTGACCAATGGAAATGTAGGAAAATTTGCGTTGTATATTCTTGCTGTGTGGTGCGTTAAAAACGAGGTGTTGAGGCCGCTTGGCAAAAGGGAGCCCGCCAATCCAACCATATCTCGTCTGCTCTGATTTACTTGCATCTGTTTAAGCAGTAATGGCAATCACAACATGACAACTTGTTTTCCTGCACTATAGATCTTGGTCATGTGCTATTCATGGTTAAGAGTTGTCCATTGCATCTAAAAGATTTAACTGCTCCAAATGATTTTTACACATCCCTTTTACAGTTTAAACAAATTACATTATTTACACATATATTACATAATACATACCTTAATACTTTACCTTACACTTTACCTTACACTTTATGTATCACACCTTACTTTCCATTTCTTCAAAAACAAACCATCAATTTAAATCCAGATTTTATTCTCATGTAACACTCTCATATGTCCTGAATATAGTAGTTTTGATTTGTTTCTTAAAAAATATTATGTTTTTTGACTCTTTAATGTCTTTGTTAAGTGGGTTCCACAAGTTAATTCCTTTCACTGAGACTGTTCTTTCCATGACTTTTGTTCTGAATCTAGGTTTTTTAAAGATATCAGTTCCTTTCAGATTGTACTGACTTTGTCTTTTTTCAAAGTTCTCTTGAATGTTTGCGGGTAATGATTTGCAATTTGCTTTATACAATATCTGAAAAATATTATAATCCACTATATCATAAAATTTTAACACCTTACACTCTAAAAAAACAGGATTTGATGAGTCTCGATATCTTTTGTTGTTCACTATTTTTAGGGCTCTTTTTTGTAAAATAAATATTGGCTGTGTATATGTTTTAAAAGTTGTCCCCCAAATTTTGACACAATAGGTTAGATATGGTATAATCATTGTATTATATAAGGTAATTAATGCTGTGTGGGTAAGAAAGTATTTCACTTTATGTAACACACCAATTGATTTGGCTAATTTTCCTTTTGTATAGTGTATGTGAGATTTCCAGTTTAGGTCCTCGTCAATGATGACTCCCAAAAATGTTGTTTCCTTTACCCTTTGGATTTCCAGGCCGTCTATTGTTATGGATATACTATTTCCAAGATTTTTCTTTTTATCATTGAATATCATGTAATTGGTTTTTTTAATGTTTAGCGCCAATTTATTTTGATCTAGCCAGCTTTTTATTTTTGCAAGTTCTTTGTTTATTACTATTTCTAACTCTCCTATATTATTTCCAGAGTAAAATAATGTAGTGTCATCAGCGAATAAGATGCTTTGTAATACAGTTGATGCTTTTGGAAAATCATTCATGTATAATATAAACAAAATTGGTCCTAGTATTGAGCCTTGCGGCACCCCCCAACTGATATCGCATGGTTCTGAATACGTACTGTTTATTTGGACAAACTGTTTGCGATTTTCAAGATAACTGGAGATCCATTTTTGAGCAATGCCTCTGATTCCATACTTCTGGAGTTTCCATAGTAATCTGGGGTGGTTAATTACATCAAAAGCCTTTTGCAGGTCTAAAAAGATACTTACTATATAATTTTTTTGATCTATTTCTCTTGCTATTTTCTCCGTCAGTTCCATTATTGCCATTGCAGTTGAGTGTTTTTTTCTAAAGCCATATTGATTTTTAATTAATATATTTTCTTTTTGTAAAAAGCTATCCAGCCTTATTGCAAATACTTTTTCCAAGATTTTTGAAAACTGTGGCAGCAAGGACACTGGTCTATAATTTGAAAAGTGGTGCTTGTCCCCGTTTTTGTAAAGAGGTATTATTTTGGCTGTTTTCATACCATCAGGAAAGGTTCCTGTTTTTAGTGACAAGTTGCAAATGTGTGTAAAAGGCTCAATTACAGATTCAAAAATTATTTTAACAATCATCATGTCTAAACCATCATAGTCGGTTGATCTTTTGTTTTCACATTCATTTACAATTTTTCGTACTTCGTCTTGTTCTACATTGGAAAGAAAAATACTGTTCACATGATCTACTATTGTGTTTTCAGTGCTAGAGGTTGGCTTTGGAATTTGTTTTGCTATCGAGTCTCCTATACTAGTAAAGTATTTACAAAATTCATTTGATATGTTTATTTCGTTGGATATTTCAAGACTGTCCTTTACAAAATAATTTGGGTACACATGTTTAATTTTGTTGTTTTTCATTACATTATTTAATATTCTCCAAGTAGCTTGTGTGTTACTCTTGTTCTCATTTAGTTTATCACTGTAATATTGTTTCTTTCGGTTTCTGATGATCCAGATTAATTTGTTTTTATACTTCTTATACCTGTTTTCTGTCTCTTTCGATTTAGTTTTAATAAAACATTTGTATAGAAAGTTTTTCTTTTTACAAGCATTCTTTAACCCTTTCGTCATCCATGGTTGATCTTCCCTTTTGTTTTTTAAATATATGATTTTGCAATTTTTATCATACAATGTACTTATTGTTTCTATGAAGGCGTTATATGCTATATTGACATCATTTACATAGACCGCATCCCACTTCTGATGTCTAAGATCTCTGTTTAGTGCCTCTAGGGCTTTTTCCGACCTGTTTCTTCTTGCAGTCTTTTCAAAACTGGTTGGTTTTGTGTTCTGATTGTGTTTAAATATTGCAAATATTGGTAGGTGATCGCTAATATCTGTTGTCAAAATTCCACTCATAATATGATCTTCATTCATATTGGTAAAAATATGATCTATTACTGTGGCACTTTGAGATGTTATCCTTGTAGGTTTTGATATTAAAGGAAAGAGGCACATGGTATTCATTGAGTTCAAGAAGTCACTTGCTATTTGTTCACTTGGGTTTCCTAAATTGATATTAAAATCTCCACATATAATTTGTCTCTTGTTTTTAGCTATTTCTATTTTTTCAATTATTTTGTCAGTAAAAACTTCGACACTGCTCTCTGGTGGTCTATAAATGCAACTAATTATTACATTTTTTCCTGACTTGGGTATAATTTCTAATGTAATCATTTCAATTTCATCTTCTATTAAAGTCATTTCATTAACAGTCTTACATTTCAAATTTCCCTCCCCCCTGGACTGCCACCTTAACGTGGTGGGGGAGTTTGAGTACTCGGATGATCCTGGGAGCTATGCTGTCTGGGGCTTCATGCCCCTGGTAGGGCCTCCCATGGCAGACAGGTCTCGTGTGACGAGTCAGACAAAGAGCAGTCCAGAAGACACCATGGACAGCACTCATACGAAACCAGTGACGTCGCCCGGCATGGCGCAGCCGGGGCCCCACCCTGGAGCCAGGCCTGGGGTCGGGGCTCGTAGGCGAGCGCCTGGTGGCCGGGCCTTAGCCCACGGGGCCCGGCCGGGCTCAGCCCGAATGGACGACGTGGGCAGTCCCTCCTGTGGGCCCACCACCTGCAGAGGGGTCCGTGGTGGCATGGTGCAGAGAGGACTGGGCAGCAGTCGAAGGCGGAGACCTCGACGACCCAGTCCACACACACAACAGCTGGCTCTCGGGACGTGGAACGTCACCTCACTGGGGGGGAAGGAGCCCGAGCTTGTGGGGGAGGTTGAGCGATACCGACTAGAGATAGTCGGCCTCACCTCCACACACAGCTTGGGCTCTGGAACCCAACTCCTTGAGAGGGGTTGGACGCTCCACTTTTCTGGTGTTTCCCGCGGGGAGAGGCGGCGAGCTGGGGTGGCCATTCTCATTGCCCCCCATCTCAGCCGCCACGTGTTGGAGTTCTCCCCGGTGAATGAGAGGGTCGCGTCCCTCCGCCTCCGGGTGGGGGACAAGTCTCTCACTGTTGTGACGGCCTACGGGCCTAACAGCAGTGCAGAGTACCCGGCCTTCTTGGAGTCCTTGGGAGGGGTACTGGACGGTGCACCGCCCGGGGACTCCGTTATTCTCCTGGGGGACTTCAACGCCCATGTGGGAAACGCCAGTGACACTTGGAGAGGGGTGATCGGGAAGAGCGGCCCCCCTGATCTGAACCCGAGCGGTGTTCAGTTGTTGGACTTCTGTGCCAGTCACAGTTTGTCCATCACGAACACCATGTTCGAGCACAAGGGTGTCCACCAGTGCACGTGGCACCAGGACACCCTAGGCCGGAGGTCGATGATCGACTTTGTTGTCGTATCATCTGACCTTCGACCGCGTGTCTCGGACACTCGGGTAAAGAGAGGGGCGGAGCTGTCAACCGATCATCACCTGGTCGTGAGTTGGATCCGCTGGCAGGGGAAGAAGCCGGTCAGACCTGGCAGACCCAAGCGTATAGTGAGGGTCTGCTGGGAACGTCTCGCTGAGCCCCCTGTCAGACGGACTTTCAACTCACACCTCCGGGAGAGTTTCTCCCAGGTCCCGGTGGAGGAGGGGGACATGGAGTCCGAGTGGACCATGTTCTCTGCCTCAATCGCCGATGCGGCGGCCCGTAGCTGTGGTCGCAAGGTCTCTGGTGCTGGTCCCGGCGGCAACCCCCGAACCCGGTGGTGGACACCGGCAGTAAGGGAAGCTGTCAGGCTGAAGAAGGAGTCCTATCGAGCCATGATGGTTCGGGGGACTCCTGAGGCAGCTGTCCAGTACCGGCAGGCCAAGCGTGCCGCAGCCCGGGCTGTTGCAGAGGCAAAAACCCGGGACTGGGAGGAGTTCGGAGAGTCCATGGAGCATGACTATTGGTCAGCCTCAAAGAAATTCTGGCAAACCGTCCGGCGCCTCAGGAGGGGGAAGCAGTTCTTTGCCAACACCATGTACGGTGCGGGTGGAGAGCTGCTGACCTCAACGGGGGATATTGTCGGGCGGTGGAAGGAATACTTTGAGGTTCTCCTCAATCCCCCCGTCACGTCCTCTGTCTCAGAGGCAGAGGCTGAGGATGCTGGGGCGGATACATCCATCTCCCTGGCTGAGGTCACCAAGGTGGTTGGTAGCCTCCATGGTGGCAAGGCTCCGGGTGTGGATGAGATCCGCCCTGATTATCTAAAGTCTCTGGATGTTGTAGGACTGTCTTGGCTGACACGTCTCTGCAACATCGCGTGGCGATCGGGGGCGGTGCCAATGGAGTGGCAGACCGGGGTGGTGGTCCCTCTCTATAAGAAGGGGGACCGGAGGGTGTGTTCCAATTATCGTGGGATCACACTCCTCAGCCTCCCCGGTAAGGTCTACTCCAAGGTACTGGAGAGGAGGCTACGGCCGATGGTCGAATCTCGGATCCAGGAGGAGCAGTGTGGTTTTCGTCCCGGTCGCGGAACACTGGACCAGCTCTATACTCTCCATCGGATACTCGAGGGTTCATGGGAGTTCGCCCAACCTGTCCACATGTGCTTTGTGGATTTGGAGAAGGCGTTCGACTGTGTTCCCCGGGGTGTCCTTTGGGGGGTTCTCCGGGAGTACGGGGTCGGGGGTCCTCTGCTGAGGGCCATCCGGTCCCTGTATGACCGGAGCCAGAGCTGTGTTCGCATTGCCGGCAGTAAGTCAGATCTGTTCCCGGTGAATGTTGGCCTCCGACAGGGCTGCCCTTTGTCACCGGTTCTGTTCACTGTATTTATGGACAGAATATCTAGGCGCAGCCAGGGGTCGGAGGGGGTCCGGTTCGGGGACCACAGGATTTCATCTCTGCTGTTTGCGGACGATGTTGTCCTGTTGGCTCCAACGAACCAGGACCTGCAGCATTCACTGGGACGGTTTGCAGCCGAGTGTGAAGCGGCTGGGATGAGAATCAGCACCTCCAAATCTGAGGCCATGGTGCTCGACCGGAAAAAGGTGCCCTGCCCTCTTCAGGTGGGTGGAGAGGTCCTTCCTCAAGTGGAGGAGTTCAAGTATCTCGGGGTCTTGTTCACGAGTGAGGGAAGAATGGAGCGTGAGATTGACAGGCGGATCGGTGCAGCGTGCGCAGTGATGCGGTCGCTGTATCGGACCGTTGTGGTAAAGAGGGAGCTGAGCCGAAAGGCAAAGCTCTCGATTTACCGGTCAATCTTCGTTCCCTCCCTCACCTATGGTCATGAGCTTTGGGTAATGACCGAAAGAACGAGATCGCGGATACAAGCGGTCGAAATGAGCTTCCTCCGCAGAGTGGCTGGGCGCTCCCTTAGAGATAGGGTGAGGAGCTCAGTCACACGGGAGGAGCTCGGAGTAGAGCCGCTGCTTCTCCACGTCGAGAGGAACCAGTTGAGGTGGCTCGGGCATCTGTTCCGGATGCCTCCTGGACGCCTCCCTGGGGAGGTGTTCCGGGCACGTCCCACCGGGAGGAGGCCCCGCGGAAGACCTAGGACACGCTGGAGGGACTATGTCTCTCAGCTGGCCTGGGAACGCCTAGGGGTCCCCCCGGACGAGCTGGAGGAAGTGTGTGTGGATAGGGAAGTCTGGGCGTCTCTGCTTAGACTGCTGCCCCCGCGACCCGGCAACGGATAAAGCGGAAGAAAATGGATGGATGGACATTTCAAATTTGATTTTACAAACAATGCAACTCCTCCCCCTCTCTTTAATTTCCTATTTATTGAAAAAAGTTCATACCCTTCCATCAGAACCTCAGCCATAATTCCCTCTTTAAACCAAGTTTCGGTTACAGCAATAATACTAAATTCATTTTTAAACTCACTTAAATAGTCCTTGATTTTAGAAAGTTTATTGTACATGCTGCGACTGTTTACATGAATAATGGACAAAGTATTGTCTGTTATTTTCTGATTTACCACGTCCTCATTGTAGTATTCACAAGTATTTTTTATGTTAAATACATGTTGCTCTATATTTATATCAATATCATAAATTTTGTCTTGTTCCATGTTGTGTTCAGTGAATTCCAAATCTATGAAAGCTAGGTGTTAGTTTAATCATTACTCATAACAAGAAGAAAATAACAAAGAAACTTCAATCACACAATCTTTCTAGCTGCTCAGCTCTTCTGATGTAAATAACTCTGGCCTCCTCTGGTGTGCCGTTTGTCTTAATATAGACTTTACAGTTAGAGGTCCATGTAGCCATGATTTTACCTTGTTTTTTAAGAAACCTTGCTTTTTTAGCTATTTCGGCGTTTGCTTTTGTGAGATGTTCATTTATATATACGTTTGTTCCTTTTAGATTTCATTAATTCCCTTTTGTCCTTTCTATTTACAAATCTTACAATAACAACTGACTTTACGTTAGGATTTTGAGACCGCAGAGTGTGACATACTTCAATACCATCTCTATTTACATAAATGTCCTTATTCTGAAGATATCTAGTCACCTGGGCTTCTATTGAAGCATTTTGCTCCTCGTTTTCTTCTTTCTGCGCCCCCTTCAGCGCGTGAGCATATGATGGTGGTTTGAGAGGCAGTATTAGTTCTGTTATAGTATCTAGAGACTGCTCCTTGAGGCAGGTCCACATCTCTGTGTGGAGTGAGAGCACTTTGTGACTCTGGTCTGTGAAAGGCGCGATATTAATAAAGATTACTTCAACTTCAAATAATTCCGTTGTAACTAGTATTCTGGATATTGTGTAATAAAAATGTTATGTAGTGAACTGTTAGACTGTGGAGGCGAGTCCCAAATGTTTTACACTGAATCAATCTGATACGTAGGTGAGGGTTGAAAGAGTGTGCGTTTGTGAGCGTGACTCTTCATAAAGACCTCCAAAATAAATAAAATCATAAATACAAACCATTTCCACTAAAGTCTGAGATGTTATAAATGTGAACGTTGCATCCTGACTGACCTGGACTAGAGAGGGCCACAGGGTCGTCTTCATTGGAGCTCAGCAAACGCATGAGTTTGGACGGCTGCGTGTCGTCCAGAGGAAAGAGGCTGTTGTAGTCCTTGGATAAACGGGTGTTCAGTAAATGTGTCGCACCTTTCACAGCTCAAACAGAAATATCTCACGCTTCCATTACCTCGATGTCCTCTCGCTGTCTTTTGCGTTGACGGGCGGATAAGGGGCCTTTATGGTGGGAAGAGTAAGAACTGAGGGCGCACCACACAGCCAACCTAGAAGATCAAAGACATCAGAGATCAATCAATGAAAGATAGAATAACCGTGGTTACAGAGGACTTGGCGATGCTTCATACTTGGCCAGTGCTTTTCCCGGTGGGTCCGCCAGGCTGTGCCAGTGGGCCGAGTCGGTGAGCAGGTTTGGAAGAATGGTGCCGAGTAAAGTCAGAGTGATCTGTGGAGTGTCCAGGCAGAAGATGCTGTAGAGCAGCTCTGCCACGCGATTGGCCCACTCCTGACGGGTCTCCTTCAGCAGCTCCTACAACAGCACAAGCAAAACACACTGAGACAAACAAACACCCGGGCCCGGGTTTTAGGACACCAACAGAGGGAACACACGTGTGTTCTTTTGAAAAGGGTAAATGATAAATGATTTTGTCACAAGTAATGCTGTGCATGTGGAAGCAGCTTCATGGGGAAGGTTACACTTAAGTAAATAAAAAATGTGGGTGCAATACATACACATTACACTATACAATATTAATACACATTACACTATTCAATATCAATACACATCAAGCAACATAAAAGGATATGCAACAGTTACCATAGCGGCGCATGAACATGCTGCGGCTTCTCTCTCTCTTGACAAGGTGACGTTTCTACCCTTTTTCAACCCTTTTCTGCAAACTGCATTTGCAGTTTTTGTGATCTGCATTGTTTTGCAAGATGTTGTTGTACATCTTTGCCATGTTTTTGTGGAGTTCAGCGTATTTTTTACTGCCAAAGCTCTTCAATAGCAATGAACAGAGGATGTGTTTTTAAAAGTAAACACACAGTTAGCATCTGAGCTAAAGGCTTTTTGAGCAGTATTTAAGACCTACAAATCCAGATATATCATCTTCTGAAGCGCTGACAGGTCACCGAGGGCCCCACACATCTGCAGCACAGTGGAGGCGTCACAAGAGGCGCTACAGGAGTCCCGGCCTCCGTTGTGTGCAACTTCTACAGAGGGACTGTAGAGCATCCTGACCAGCTCCATCACTGGGTGGCACGGCACCAGCACTGCCTCCTGCCGAAGAAGCCTCCAGCGCATCGTGAGAGCAGCAGAGAAGATCTGTGGAGCCCCTCTCCCCACCATTAAGGACATGTACTCCACCCGTCTCACCCGCAAAGCCGTCAGAATCACCAGGGACCTTACGCACCCATCACACAGGCTCTTCAGGGTAATGCCTTCAGGGAGGAGACTGCAGAATTTACAGAACAGTTCCAGTCGACTTAAAAACAGTTTCATTCACAAGGTCATCAGGAAGCTGAACTCCAATCAAGGATGAGAGAAATATAATTTCAAACCATTCACTTGGTTTGACAAATAAAAATCTTGAAATGCAGCACAGCCAAACAGCAGTAAATGGCTGTATTCATCCACTGCCCACAGTATTATAGGTACCGAGTGGTTTTACAAGAATCAAACAGTAACATGACATCATCATTACAAACCTTAACTAAGTTATTAGTGAACCAGAAGACCCCTCCCATGTTCAGGAGGCTCTCGAACAGATGCAGGGCTCGACTGTCGACCCATCCTTTCCTCAGCACTGTCTGAAACTGCTGACTCAGCGCCGCATGGATGGGTTCTTTGGTTGGGAGGAGGTTGCGGTAGGGAATGGGTTCATGACCTTCTACTGGGGGACGGACTGTGGCTCCCGTCTGCTGGAAGATGTCTGCACACATGTGCTCCATGATGGAACTCATGATGATGACACTGTCGGGGAGGAAGACGCAGTGAGCAAAGAGACGTGAATGTGTTGGATGTAAATGCTTCAGTTACCGTTCAGTGTAAAACTGCAGCGTGTTTTCTCCGTACAGCGGCGTCACAAGATGTCGAATCATGGTCTGTGGCTTTTCTCGCTCGTCCCGCCCCAGCATGCGGACATGAGCCACCAGCCACGCAACAGCACAAATGGCCATGCTGCAGACTTTCCCTTTTATGTTATCAGTGATCCTCTGCAGACACACACATGCCACAGACCATTACTCACACGCCTGACTCCTTCATACACATGGGACCCTCTCACATTATTATTCTCCAAATCATTTTCACAAAATGATGGCTTTTAAGCAAAAATACAATAACTGAGGAAAAAATAATAATGAAAAGTGTTCATAAATATATTAACAGTCTTCTGAACCAAAAGGACCGCACACACCACAGTGCAGCGAGTGACGAGCGCCTCTCCTCAGCACAGGCATCATGCAGCTGTGTGCAAACCGGCAGAACGCTGAGACGCAGCTGCTGATGCTGTCCCGTGTCGTCTATCGAGACGTGTAGAGGACAGTACGGGACAGAGACGCTCCCTTTTAAATAAGACTTTTACTGTTAATGATTTGATTTTAGAACACAAGCTGGATGGTATGTTTTTAACTGAGACCTGGCTGGGTCCGGATGCTCCGGCTGTTCTTACAGAGGCCTCCCCCCCAATTTTAACTTTGCTTTTAAAACAAGAGAAGGAAAGAGAGGTGGCGGCACAACCTCAATATGCAGTAACACCCTGGCCACCAAACCTATTGTTTTTAACCAATACTCAAGTTTTGAGTATCACTCTCTTGTTTTTAGCAACCCCAAAATTTTAACAGTAATTATTTATAGGCCACCTAAAAAGTGCAGCCTTTTTATTATTGAATTCTCAGCGTTTTTATCACAGTTACACAATTCTTACAATATGATAATTTTAACCGGTGATTTTAACATACACATTGACAATCCCTCTGACAATTTTACCCTAGATTTCTTAGATGTTCTTAATTACATGGATTTTACCCAACACGTCAGACAGCCAACACACAACAGAGGACACACCCTCGACCTGGTCATTACTTATGGCCTGACTGCGGATGTGTCCTCTGTTGTCGACTTGGCTGTCTCGGACCACTACTGTGTGTTTTTTAACATCACTGGTTTTATTCAGCGTGAGACCTCTGTGAGAACCGTGAGGACGCGACATCTAACCCCTGAAGTGGCTGCAAATTTTATCAACATCCTAAACAACACTCCCCCATTTTATAGCAAATGATTTTAACAGCAGAATTAGTTCTGCGTTGGATCAAGTCGCTCCTTTAAAAACAAAAATCATAAAAAAAAAATCTGCACCCTCATGAGAAATGAGGAAGTACGCAAAATGAAACAAGAGTGCAGGGTGGCAGAACAAAGATGGAGGAAAAATAAAACAACAATCAACTACGAAATATATAAAAATCAAAAAGCATACAATTACACAATTAGAAATCATAAGAACAAATACTTTGCAAATCTAATCAGCCAGAACAAAAATAATCCAAAAATCCTCTTTTCAACCCTCCCCACCATTTTAAACCTTGATTTTAGCATGTCTCTTTTAACCCCCACAGACTCCCTCTGTGAGGATTTTGCAGTCCACTTCACGGGGAAGATAAATACAATCAGATGTAACATTTTATCCAACCGCACTACTGCTTTTAACACATCTGATTGTTTGTCTTCGCCAGAGGAAACACTGGACAGTTTTGTCCTGGTTGATGCTGAGATGCTTGATAGAGTTTTCTCCTAAGTGAGGCCCACCACATGTCTTTTAGATCCAGTCTCCACTCCATTTTTTAAGTCATTTTATGAATCTTTTAGAGAGGAGCTTTTAAACCTGGTGAATTGCTCTCTTCAGACTGGGGTCTTTCCTGCAGCCTTAAAAGCGACTGTGGTGAGACCCCTTCTGAAGAGATTTAGATTTTAATGATTTTAACAACTACAGACCGGTATCCAACTTACCATTTTTAAGCAAAATTTTAGAAAAACTTGTTTTTACCCAGCTCAATGCCTTTTTAGATCAGCAGCAAATTTTAGAGAAATTTCAATCAGGTTTTAGGGTGAACCACAGCACAGAGACTGCTCTTTTAAAGATTTTAAACGATTTTAGACCAAGTTATGATTTTAAAAAGGTGACCGTGTTGGTTCTACTGGATCTTAGCGCTGCCTTCGACACAGTAGACCACACCATTCTTTTATCACGCCTACAACACCTCGGCCTCTTTGGTGCTGTCCACAAATGGTTCACTTCTTATTTAACAGACAGATCCTTCATGGTGAGTTTGGATACCTGCTCCTCTCAGGTCCATAAAATCACATGTGGTGTGCCCCAGGGTTCCATTTTAGGTCCAGTCATTTTTAACCTGTACATGCTCTCTCTTGGCGGTGTCATCAGGAGACATGGAATTAACTTCCAGTTATGCAGATGATACACAGCTGTACATCTCCATGTCTCCTGACGACACCAGGCCAATGGATGTTCTTTTTAACTGCATTTTAGACCTGAAATCCTGGATGGCAGAAAACTTTCTCCAGCTCAACCAGGACAAAACTAAGGTTTTAGTCATCTGTCCTGAGGCCCAGAGAGAGAAACTTTTATCAAAACTCCAATCATACTCTTTTAATCCATCATCACAAGTGAGAAACCTGGGCGTAATCTTTGACTCTGAGCTGACTTTTATTCCTCACATCAAGAACATCACAAAAATAGGTTTTTATCATCTAAAGAACATCGCCAGAGTCCGCCCCATTCTCTCTCGGGCCAACACGGAGACGCTGATGCTTTTATCACCAGTCGCATTGACTATTGTAATGCCCTGCTCTCTGGTCTTCCCAAAAAGAATATTGCAAGTCTTCAATTACTCCAATACTCGGCCGCACGTGTCCTGACTAAGACCAGGGGGCGGGACCACATTACACCGGTTTTAAAATCGCTGCATTGGCTCCCCGTGTGTTTCAGGATCGATTTTAAGGTTCTTTTAATGGTTTTTAAATGTCTTAATGGTCTTGGGCCTTCTTATCTTTCAGAACTGCTTTTATCCTATGAACCTTCCCGGCCCCTGCGCTCCTCCGGCAGCAGACTCCTAACCATCCCCAAAGTCAGGACACACACTCACGGCGAGGCATCTTTCCAGCACTACGGCCCCCGTCTCTGGAACAGTCTGCCGGAGGAGCTCAGGGCCGCAGAGAACGTTCATATTTTTAAAAGTAGGCTCAAGACAGACTTTTTTAGATTATCTTTTGATTAGTTTTTATTATTCCATTCTATTTATCTTTTATTATTTATTGTATTGCTATTGCTATTATTCATGTATGTGTGTTCCTTTTAGTCTCACATTTTAGTGTTTTACTTATTGTATTGTTTTTCGTGTACCCAGTGTTTCCTCTGGAGGAGCCCTCTGCACTGGGAGAAGTGGTCGGTGTGGCTGCGGGGGTCAGACTCTTGGGCCTGGTGGGGGCCTGGGTCCTGTGTCGTCCCCTGTGGCTACGGGCGGCTCTCTGCTCCTGGTGCAGACGGCTCCTTGGATGACGCTTTTTCAGCTGGTTGCATCTGAACCCTGCCAAGTCTCTCATCATGGTTTTATTGTTTTACTGGTGCGTGCGTGCGTTTGTTTTGGGTGGTCTGGGGGAGGGGTCTTGGGTCGGCGGGATTGTTTTTAACCAAACTGTAAAGCACTTTGTGTTACATCTTTTGTATGAAAAGCGCTTTATAAATAAAATTTGATTGATTGATTGATTGATTGAGAGGACTGATGTAGAGCAACACAAATCAGATGTACAGTGCCTTGTGAAAGGTTTTTGGCCCCCTTGAACCTTTCAACATTTCGCCACATTTCAGGCTTCAAACAAAGATATAAAAAAAATTTTGATCAATAATCAACAAGTGGGACACAATCGTGAAGTGGAACGAAATTTATTGGATAATTTTAACTTTTTTAATAAATAAAAAACTGAAAAGTGGGGTGTGCAATATTATTCGGCCCCCTTGCACTAATACTTTGGAGTGCCATCTTTTGCTGCAATTACAGCTGCAAGTCGCTTGGGGTATGTCTCTATCAGTTTTGCACATTGAGAGACTGGAATTCTTGCACATTCTTCCTTGCAAAACAGCTCGAGCTCAGTGAGGTTGGATGGAGAGGGTTTGTGAACAGCAGTCTTCAGCTCTTTCCACAGATTCTCGATTGGATTCAGGTCTGGACTTTGACTTGGCCATTCTAACACCTGGATACGTCTATTTGTGAACCATTCCATTGTAGATTTGGCTTTATGTTTTGGATCATTGTCCTGTTGGAAGATAAATCTCCGTCCCAGTCTCAGGTCTTTTGCAGACTCCAAGTTTTCTTCCAGAATGGTCCTGTATTTGGCCCCATCCATCTTCCCATCAATTTTAGCCATCTTCCCTGTCCCTGCTGAAGAAAAGCAGTCCCAAAGCATGATGCTGCCACCACCATGTTTGACAGTGGGGATGGTGTGTTCAGGTGATGAGCTGTGTTGCTTTTACGCCAAACATATCGTTTTGCATTGTGGCCAAAAAGTTCGATTTTGGTTTCATCTGACCAGAGCACCTTCTTCCACATGTTTGGTGTGTCTCCCAGGTGGCTTGTGGCAAACTTTAAACGAGACTTTTTATGGATATCTTTGAGAAATGGCTTTCTTCTTGCCACTCTTCCATAAAGGCCAGATTTGTGCAGTGCACGACTGATTGTTGTCCTATGGACAGACTCTCCCACCTCAGCTGTAGTTATCCGCAGTTCATCCAGAGTGATCATGGGCCTCTTGGCTGCATCTCCGATCAGTCTTCTCCTTGTTTGAGATGAAAGTTTGGAGGGACGGCCGGGTCTTGGTAGATTTGCATTGGTCTGATACTCCTTCCATTTCAATATAATTGCTTGCACAGTGCTCCTTGAGATGTTTAAAGCTTGGGAAATCTTTTTGTATCCAAATCCGGCTTTAAACTTCTCCACAACAGTATCTCGGACCTGTCTGGTGTGTTCCTTTGTCTTCATGGTTCTCTCTGCGCTTTAAACAGAACCCTGAGACTATCAAAGAGCAGGTGCATTTATACGGAGACTTGATTACACACAGGTGCATTCTATTTATCATCCTCAGTCATTTAGGACAACATTGGATCATTCAAAGATCCTCACTGAACTTCTGGAGTGAGTTTGCTGCACTGAAAGTAAAGGGGCCGAATAATATTGCACGCCCCACTTTTCAGTTTTGTATTTGTTAAAAAAGTTTAAATTATCCAATAAATTTCGTTCCACTTCACGATTGTGTCCCATTTGTTGATTCATGACAAAAAATGTAAATTTTATATCTTTATGTTTGAAGCCTGAAATGTGGCGAAATGTTGAAAGGTTCAACGGGGCCGAATACTTTCGCAAGGCACTGTATGTGTATCTCCTACTAATGTTTAGATACAAATGCTGTGAGTGTGGAGCTGATTCAGTGCCAAGGACTGCTCGCAAAAACATGTTTCTCATGTTTTTTGACTGGTGCCGGGAAAGTGCTCCTTTTTTGGGCTAACGGGTGCGGCGCTGTGCTCGTCTGCGGTGTGTGCGCTCCTCGCTGATAACAAGGGTGCACATTTTCAAATGAGCCCCACGGCCCCTAGAAGCAATGAATCTGAAATCTGAAGTATTTAATTCATGCAACACCGGTTTCTTTACAACAAGGCTCAGCTTTGGTTATTGGTTAATAAGCACAAATGAAGAGTTTGTAACTTCCTTTTACTTATAAATGGTAATTAAAGAATTCTGACATAAGGTTAAATATAACTTGTGTGGACCAAAAAGTTTCCATCCTGATACAAAAGAAATATTTTAAACACAACCACAAACAGTCTTTGAGCGCACACACACACACACACACACACACACGCACACAATTAGAAAGGGAAAGTGGAAATAATGACATCCTTCTGCATTTCTGGACGTCAAAGCTGTTGCGCAGTGCTAGCATCCTGACTGGTCAGTTTCCCTTCTGAGTAGAACAACATTATGATGTAAAAGAATTGTGTTATTTCCAAAGCATTCCATCCGTCATGTTTCCTTCCGAGTTACCTGCACGGCCTCGACAGAAAGCACCCCATTCTCCCAGGCATTCAGGACTTCCAAGATGGCCGCCGGCGTGTTCAGACAAATCTCATGCCACTTGACCTGACTGAAAAGAATAATAAAAACTAGATTGTGAATCAAGGACATTTGTGGAGACGCAAACATGAAGCAGGGAGACCGTGGAGAACTCACACTAGCTTCATTTCAGAGGAGTTGTTGAGAAGGGTCACCAGGCTCTCCACTTTACCAGGCTCTGGTCGGAAGCAGGGGTGGTCTGGGTTTAGGATTTTGCCTTCTTCTGGCATACACGTCTGCAGCCAGGTTTCAAAGAAGGGGGTCTCTCCAGAAGGACTGGGATCTGATAATATTACCTAATGTGAAAAGAAAAAAACACGATTTCAAAACCAACAGCCAATTGCATGTATATTATCTACAGACTGGAGTTGTAGGGCACACAGACCTCTGACCCATATGTCTGCACCACATGACACAGCATGAGGAAAGAGATGTCGAAGAGAAGCGCTCGCACAGATGCTGACTTGGCTGAAGAGAACAAGAATGTTATGCACTTTTCAAAAAAAGATAATTAGAGAGATGTTACTCACATCCTTCCCCAGCGATGTGTTTGGGAAATTCATTCAGTCTAAAGATAGCAGGAGGTTTAGTACACGTGGGTAAAGAGAAAAGGAAATTACGATATTGTAGCTAATTCATATAAACAATTGTTAATTTACTTGATGAACTTTCGGGCAAAAGATTTGAGCTTTCCTGTAGCTGCAGCTGCTGCGAGAAGCAAGTCCAGGCTCTTGCCAGACAACATGTGTCCAAGGACCCCCAGGAGTCCCTCAGGAGACTTTGAGTGGTCTGCATCAACAGTCTAAAACAACAGTAAGTAATGTTTAATTATATAGCACCTTTTACAGACCAAGGTCACCCAAAGCGCTTTGTGCAGAGTTCAGATATTATTCCATTCTCTCCACACGGTGAGGACGGAAGCAAGACGCTGAACACACTGGCGCTCATTACACTCATTACACTTAGACCTATTGTACATGTTTTTAGTGGTAGGGGACAACAGAGCACACGGAGGAAACCTACACAGGCACAGGGAGAACATGCAAGATCCACACAGAAAGGCCTGGAGGAAAAAACAAACCCAGGACCTTCTTGCTGTCCTTCTGTGTTCTGTTTTTGAATTGTTCATTGTATGATTTGTCATTGTAAGGTTTTCAAGTATTATCTGTCTGTTACCTAGGAAACCAGGGCTTTTATAAGGCGCCTTCTTTCCTTTGGAAAGCGTCTTGGTCCAACAGTGACTCTTGGCCCAACTGGTTCCAGATGCTGTCAATGCTGAGGGGAGTATTTTTGTGTGTCTAGTTTAGTCACAGGGGAACTTTTTTTATGAATGGGGCTTGTGCAGCTAATGTGTTTTTTCCCTTAGATCCATGGTTTTTTCATATTTAAGGCAAAAGTGGTGACACATTAGTTTATTATAGCATTCACACTGACGCTTAAAGCATCAATGTTGATGAATGTGAATTGTCCCAACTTAACATACATAAATGAAATGGAAATGTCGGCCTCCAGTAACTTATATAATGCCTATAACTTCAGGGACATGCAGATTGTTTGTACCTTGAGGATATTCGTCACAGTGGGCTCCGCTCTCAGGATAAGGCCGGGGTTCGGTTGGATATTTGCATTTTCTGCAGTTTTCAGCTTTGGGGCATATTCCCTGTCCTCTGTCCTAAATCATGTATGTAAAACAGAAAAGGGTGGCGTTACGTTGAAAGTACACGGTGAAAAGAATGCATTAGAAAGAAAACACATACGTTACACTATTTCTGTACCTTTTGGCCGTTAGATTGGCTGTGTTTGATTCTGACAACAACACCAGCTTATGACATTCCTGTAACAGCATTCCAAGGCAATCACAGCTACGGAGAGGAAATTACAGATTTACACAAAGATAAGTTTCCGGCGCACTTCTGCTCTGTTTGGTTTGTTAATCCGGCAGTGACGCAGGGGACTCCAGGAAACTACTTTAAACCATAAAAGTCATATGGACAGTCCATGTACTCACTTGCATCTCTGATCAGCCTTGTCAAGCAACGGCGTGAGCTTCAGCAAATACTCAAACGCAATATTTACATCATCCATAAAATCCTGCAAAAGTTATGATAAAATTGTATTTGGGGAAGAGTTCAACCTGGAAACTGTGTAAAAGGAAGACGTTTACCTGTCCTCTTTCTCTCATTGGGTACTTCTTAAGCCTCAGTAAAACTTGTGGAATCTAAGAAAACGGTGCATTAGGATAAAAACATTGAAATAGTTTTAATAGTGAAGAGATGCAATACTTTGAGGAATGTGAAAGCCGTCCATTTCAGCTCTTCGGTGCCCTCTGGAGACTCGATGAGGCCGGTGAAGCACGCTTTCCACACCTCCAGCACAAAGAGCGGCGTCGGAATGTGCTGGAAACAACAAATCACCGCAGACGACATCCTTAGTGCTCCACGTCTAGGGTCAAGAGGAATCCTTCTGAAGTGCACCCACCTGCATCCGCTTGATCATCATGAGCTGCTCCACCAGAGGCTGCAGTTCTCCGGTCAGGTTCATGGTCCCCTCCAGCATCACAAAGGCGTGGACCGACGGGAAGGACACATTGACGGCCGGCTCTGAGGGCATCGTCAACATCTGCGGGACACTGGACGAACAGACACAGGGTCAGAAAATGGCTTCTTCTATGACACGCATCTCCAAACTAAGGCCCCGACTCCACCGGGTGTGTAAAACGGACGACCAAACATGTCCGTTTCATCTCCGACTCCGTTATCTCCATGAGGGTGAATGGAAGTGGCTCCACTGCCTCCGCATGCGTCCGTCTGACGCACGTCGGACGTATTCCGTCAACGGAGGGTGCAACTGACGCGGACGGACGAAATAGAAACAATCCTATTGGTTCCGTCCGTCGACGCGTGTCGGGTCCGTTTTCCATAGAGAATACAATGGAATAATATATATACCACATTATTAAACATGTATTGATAAGCTGTAGCCCTTGGTTATAAGTATTTGTTAATGACAATGATTATTAACAAACGTGTGTAATTTTCTTCATGTATTACTTTTAATAATTGTTTCCTGATTGTACATCTACCATTCATTTTTCGCGTAATGTTAATAAGCTAATCTTTACATACACCTCGCTCTTTTTTCTCTCGCTCTGTCCCGTCTACCTGCGAGGCGCTCTCTCCTCACCGCCGCGCGCTCCCACACACACACACTCACACACACACACACACAGAGCTGCACTTATGAGAGACAGATCTCACAACAACACTGGAGTTCTTTTCGCCTTTCTCTCTCCCCTTTTTCCAATTGCTTTCAATAAGTTTTGCCTCATCCATCGCGACGTCCTCAATGCTTCAATATGCTGTGCTTTGCACTGATCATAGCCACAGCTCATGCACATCACACATCGCTTCTTCTATTTAAAACTATAGCTCTGCCTGTTGCCTAAAGCCGCGGAGAGGCGAGTTGGGTCCGATAAAAGTGTATGACGCGCTAAATAAGTACAGAAAACAAACGAAGAGGCTGGATCATAATAAACGCTGCGGGCACGTACGCGCACACACACACACACACACACACACACACACACACACACACACACACACTTCTCCATCAGCCAAATATTCATTCATTCACACAATGCCCAAACGTGTCTCCTACAAAAACAAAGCAGGCTGATAAACGGACAGCCAGAGTTGCGCGCTGCTGCAGCCGGTTTGACCACTAGTCCGTTTTACGGACGTCTGACGGACAGTAGCCAACGCGCGTCAACGGAGACGCGCCCGGTGGAGTCCAGGCCTAAGGCCTGAGGGTCAATTACAGCCCCCTGTGTGAGTCGATGTGGCCCTATGCCCTGCTAACCCAAAGTACCATTGAGATTAAAAACACAAGTTCATAGTGTTCCCCAGCCAAGTTCCGCTGCTCCAACCAAGGCATGTAGTACCTCATTGTAAAACTCAAAACCTTATGAATACATATATTTGTATGGACTGACATTTGTTTTTCATTATGGCACAAAAATGTGTCCATGGCACTGGTGTAGCTATTGAGAAAGCTATTCACCTCAGCTCTCACAGATGTGTGTATGTATATAAATATATACACATGCTCACGTAAAAAAAGCTCCTCAAAATAGACAGATTCTCGTCAAACTAGTTATACAATCCGTGTTGTCGGCCCCTGGACAAGTCTGGAGAACTAAATTGGCCCTCTTAGTTAAAAGTTTTATGTTTTGTTCCAGGACTTGCTCCAGGACTTGCTCCAGGACTTGCTCCAGGACTTGCTCCAGGACTTGCTCCAGGACTTGCTCCAGGACTTGCTCCAGGACTTGCTCCAGGACTTGCTCCAGGACTTGCTCCAGGACTTGCTCCAGGACTTGCTCCAGGACTTGCTCCAGGACTTGCTCCAGGACTTGCTCCAGGACTTGCTCCAGGACTTGCTCCAGGACTTGCTCCAGGACTTGCTCCAGGACTTGCTCCAGGACTTGCTCCAGGACTTGCTCCAGGACTTGCTCCAGGACTTGCTCCAGGACTTGCTCCAGGACTTGCTCCAAGGCTTGCTCCAGGACTTGCTCCAGGACTTGCTCCAGGACTTGCTCCAGGACTTGCTCCAGGACTTGCTCCAGGACTTGCTCCAGGACTTGCTCCAGGACTTGCTCCAGGACTTGCTCCAGGACTTCTTCTATGGTGGTGCTTACACTTGGTCTAAAATGTGAATCCAAACTCACCTTTTCACGAGTGCGAGGCTTTCTTCAACCTTAGTCTTTAACGTCTGGTTGGAGACGCTGCTGAGGCCCTCGCTCACTTTCAGCACCGCCTGCTCCACATTACTCCAGAAACCTACAGACAACAGTAGTTTACATTAGAACACAGAACATGGAACTCTTATGATAGATTAGAACATAGAACAGATCCACCGATGAAACACTTGGCATAATTGGGGTGATAATGAGCTTCTATGGACAAAAAACAACAAAGGCCATTTCTGCATTTTATAGTTCTCTGGGGGATGCTCGGAAAGATTCAACTTTATATATAAAAAAAAAAATGGGAGGCGGAGTTGGGGATAGTTGTAGCAGATGATGAATGGTTCCGGATGTGTGAAATACACCACAGTACAACTAACTCGTTGATGTGGAGGGAGTTTTGCTGGAAGAATTTGACACGTTTTTTTATTACACCTCAAATTAAAAGCAGGCAGATTTCCATCCCACAGGAATGTTGGAGATTGTGTGGAGAAATGGAGGCTAATCATTCACACATATTCTGGAATTGTACCAAATTGGGGAGATATTGGGATCAAATAAAAACAACCATAAAAGATATACTGGGCTATGAAATTCCGGGCGGTTGCCTTGTGCTATACCTAGGTAATATACAGAAGGTGGTAGGGAAAGAGGACATTTATTTGACAAAAATTATTCTTGCTGCAGCTAAAAAGGCAATTACAAAAGTTTGGCTACAGCCAGAACCACCTACACAACAAGACTGGATCCGGATCGTGGAAAGCATTTCCGTTATGGAAAAAATTACATATAATCTTAGGCTAGAGGGACAGAAGTACAATGAGCAATGGGAAAAATGGAAGGTGTTCAATGAAGCCAGGTTAGTTTCATGAAAATGCATTATTGAATTAGGCTTGTATTTTGCACGTACTGTAAGGTTATATACATTGTGACAGGGTTACCAGACTTTAAGTTCCTTTTGTTTTTGTTTTTTGTTTGTTTATGAACCAATTTCATTACCATGATTGCTTTCAATCCTTGAAACCTTAGTTTGTATGCTTTGTAAATGTTCTTGAAAAATGAAAAAAAAAAAGAACAGATCCACCGATGTAGGTCTTCTATCACGGTCACGGAATGTTTTATGAATTTTAGCAGCATTGTTGTTGTTTTTTTCATTTTTTAAAAGAAAAATGTGCTAGTTATTCATTAGGAAACTTTTTACACAATACTTCAATATATTTATTTTAAAGAAGAAAGTGTCAACACTAAGGAATGCAGTGTTTTATTTGTGGAAAGTGAGTTTATATCGTTTCCATCAGTGGTTTTCTACAACAACACGTTTCATTATGTTGCACTTCACTTTTGAAGGAAACCTCAAAGTGCTGGTCATGCTTGTGAGTTATTGAACCTGGGTTTGGATATTCTACTTTGGAAGTTTATTTGCATTAATAAAATGAGTACAGTTCTGCTAGTATGAAAACAGAAGAGGGTCAGAGGGAAAGATGACTGGATACTGCAGAAATGTCAATAATACGTATTTTTCTCCCAGTCTGTGGCTTCTCTCTTCAATCTTCTACATTCCTCTGGCCAAGGCCAAAGATAAGATAACTGGATTCTACAACAACCTCTCACTTGCAGCTCTCAGCCCCCCACGTGACTGATTCAGGAAATGATTCGCTGATTTGGACCGCGATTCAAAATAAAAAGGGACGAGTGAACGCAATGGATTCCCCTTCATCACTTTGTGTGTTTTTGGGTTATTGCGCTTCTTATTTGGCATCCTGTTCGAGCTTCTTTTTTTGCGATGGAACCGGCAAGAGAGAGAAGATTTTCTCCAGTTTGGGAGCACTTTGAGCAGATCTCACCTAATAAGGTAAGGCATATCAATAAATCTGTAATAATAGATTACACAAATATGACAACACATCATTTCTCTTGTTCACTTTTCTCTTTTATAAATACGTTTGAATAATAGTTTTTTTTTTAATTGTAGGTGAAGTGTCTGTTGTGCTCCAAACATCTGGGTTATAATAACACCTCAGCTATGCTAAGGCACTATCATGCCTTGCATAGCAATGTGGATTCCAACCCAGGTGAACCTGTCTCGGGTAGGCCATTTTATATCATGATAATAACTGATGACTGTCCTACAATTACACTACATATATTTTATTTGAATGTATTTGTTCATTAAATACATTTCTAACCCTAATATGCATTTTCTTTCAGCTGAGACGGTCAAAGACAAGGCCAAAGACAAGGCCAAAGTGGTGGTGTCTTCTGCATCTGCTGTTAGTTTAACAGCAGACATGTGGACCTCCATCAACACTGATGCCTATCTTGCAGTGACTGGTCATTTTATTGACGAGAGCACTTCTCTGCAGACTGTTGTCCTTGGGGTGCAGCATTTCCCTGAGGCACATACAGCAGCAAATCTAGCGAGAGTGATGACCTCTCTTATGTCAGAGTGGGGTTTAGCAGGAAAGGTGACATGTCTGGTGACTGATGGCGCTGCCAGTATGGGAGCTTGTGCTTGAGAGCTACATATGCGTCACACAATTTGTGTGGCACACACGCTAAACTTAATGATAAAAAAAGCTCTCGACCAAAGTCCTGAGTTGTGTGACATCAGGACAAACTGTCGTAAGATAGTTACTTTTAAGAGCAGCACTACTGCAAAGGTAAGGTCCTTACTTGTAATATGTCAATTATTATTTCTGCTCCTGCACTGTTTAATTTTATGACTGTTTTAGGGGAGAGACTTACACAGATCCAATTGCAAATGGGTCTCTCTGTGCATAAACTTATTCAAGGAGGTGGACACTAGATGGAACAGCACGTACTTAATGCTTCAGCGTCTGTTCAACCTGAGAGAGCCTGTCGGAGCAGCTTTGGCTGGGCTCCGTACAGACATTACACAAATCTCAGCAGAACAATATAACATCATTGCAGACTGTCTGAAGGTGCTCGCTCCATTCTACTATGCCACAATTGAGGTGTCCGAGGAGAAAAAGAGTCTCTGGGTCAAAAGTAGTTCCACTTTTGACCATTCTCCATAATGCTCTGGAAGAAAAGGAGATAGGCAATATCCAAACACCTGAGAGCAGAGACATGGCTGAGTATTTGCGAAGACAACTGAGGGACAAGCCCAGTCTCTACCTTGCTTGATCCTAGATTTAAAAAGATTGGATTCTTCAACCCCAATAAGGCAGCAGAAGCTGAAAAAAGATTGATTGTAGAATGTACTCGAGTTTTGAGACTTTCATTGTCCTCTTCTGCTTCTGCTTCATCATCATCATCATCATCATCAGCATCAGGATCTTCTTCATCTGTAGCTGAAGGTAATATGTATACTCTATTTGTGCTAATAAGTCACTTATAACCTGTTTATTCTGTTTTAGGGAGCAAACTGTGGCAACGTTTTGACACGACATGCCAGCAGACCAAAATCCCAAACATAACTGCCATGGCTACAGTGGAGGTCCAGACATACCTGGGGGAGCCAAATATTCCTCGACTCGAAAGTCCCCTTCAATATTGGGACAAACATAAGTTTACATTTCCAAATGTATATAAACTTGCTATTACATATCTATGTACACCTGCATCCTTTGTGCCCTGTGAACGGATGTTTTCAAAGGCAGGTGAAATTCTGTGCAAGAAAAAAAAGAGTCCAAATACTCTTGAAAAATTATTATTTTTGAATAAAAATGAATAAATGTATTTTCTGTATTCAACTCTGTGAATAGTTGCATAAGCACTTACATGAACAAAGTAACACAAGCACATTTTACATAACTGTCTCATTGGCTGTATTCTTTCAGCCCATGTTCAGACCAGAGACTGTATAAATTAACGGACAGAGTCACGCCTATCTCCGCCGTTCATAGGAGTTGGCCATGAAAAGTGCTTTCATGGAGCAATCCAAGATGGCCGCGAGTGGTCCTGCCCACAAGAAAATTGTGAAAAAACGCATCTGCGCATGCGTCAGCCGACGAGAGACTTCAAAAATTCACCGCGAGTAAACTAGAGTAGACCAAAACAATCCACCCCCCTCAGCATTGACACACATGTGGAACGGAGCTTTGGGCCAAGAGCCAACTTTTGGTCCATCCTGTAAAGACGTTTTTGAGAGGTCTGCCAATGCTATATGTTAGCATTGGCTAATTCTTATTCCGGGTCCACCCCCATCGGCCCGGCGTGGTATTGCAAGCATGTCAGCGCACGTCATTTTAGCCACTTTTGAGCCGGACCCGCCCCCACTTGTTCAGACCCCACCATTTGTTATAGGCCCTTGGCATGTATTACATGTTTTTGTCCACATGATGGCGTAGTGGAGCATGATTCACCTGGAGCCTGACTCATGGGCCGAGTAATAGGCTGCGATCCCTCAAGGCTTCATGGAGCTTCATATTGCCATCACTACCTGTTGCTGATTATTACTATTGTTAGCTTTTTTGAATGATCAATTTTATTTTTTCTGCTACTCGACACCTGAACTTCTCCGACGGGGATCAATAAAGTATCTATCAATCTAAATGTGACATGTAAATTTTGTTATATCAATAAAGTCCATCTCATCTTAAACAAAAAGGCAGTATGTGTGATGCATGAGCTCGATCTTACTCTGCTCCTCGAGCCGAGCGATGTGGATGAGGGCCCGGTTCTTGGTGCTGCTGAGGAGGCCGTGCAGCCGCTCCTGGCAGGCGGCGAGGCTGGCTTCAGTGCTGGGTACAGGCCCGAGCTCTCGCAGTCGGTCACAGTAAAAGGCACAGCCCTGAAGGAGCCACACGGTGATGCCCAGCAGAGAGCGGCACAGACCGATGCACTCCTCTGCTTTACCGTGGCAGCTTCCACACACACATGAAGAATAGAGTGAGGATGGAACAGAAGTGCTTGTGGGTCTATGTTTTTTAAAGGCTTACCTCAGGCGATGGCAAAACATATCCATTATTTCCAGCAGGGATTTGACGCAAAGTTCTCGAGAGAAATCATCAAACTAGAAAGACAAAATATCAAATCAATAACAATATGAGCCTTAACTACTCATTGTTACCAAATCCTATAATACAATTTACAACATTTATTTAAATTAGTATCCGTGCTGGCTCGAACATCAATAACAATAATAATAATAATATCATCAATAAGCAAAATAGATATAACAAATTGGCCAGTTCTGGTTGTCCAAACAACTATATATATATATAATATAAAATGTTACAATCGATTTCTACGTTTTTCTCTTTTATATTGCATCATATTAGCTTCAGGATGGTTGCATAATGATAGCTGTTGTCATAACAACCGTGTAACCAAGAAAGTCAGAATTATGTGAATGATGTGAAATACATTATGTGATTTGAATGTATTCCTATATGTATATGACATGTATTTTAAGCCCACAGTCTCATTATCCGAATGTTTATTTCTCAAACTCAAAACTTGGACACAGAATAGATGATAATTTATTACCTTGCTTATTGCTGCAAGGACACTGGAATAAGACACCATCTGTAGTGAGATCATAAAAAACAAAGCATTGGAAACATCTGAGACAGAGGATGCATGTTACTACAGCCACAGTCTGACTTTTACCTGCGAGCTGATGGCATATTTGAGGTAAGAGAGGATGAGAGGATTGGGAGATGGACCAATCATAGCCTGTTCCATTAGAGCCTCTGGTGTGGGGTAATTAATAAGTTTAGTTTAAATATGATCCTAGAACATTTACGATGACACAGCAGGTGTTTTCTGACCTGCCAGATTTAGATAGTCCCATGTCGCTCCTTTGGGGAAGTTCCTCTTGATGTTGATGGCCCATTGGTAATCACTCCAGCGCTCCTTCCAGGCCTGCAGAATGGCTTGCTTCAGATTCACCACCTTCATCTGGAAACCTGCTCAAAGATCACGGAAAAACTACAACCCTCAATTTAGAATCAGTCCAGGCATTTCATTCATGTCTACTGTTGGCAATGGAGAATCAACTACAGATTAAATAATATACATATGCAGCTAAATACACGCATTAAACTCACCGGGATGTGTCTGTAAACGCGCTCGGGCTAATTGTTGTCTGTAATGTGTGTATTTACTGGACAAATGAAAGGAAATGTACAGATCGCTTCACAACAATGACACAAACGCCATTTTTGACTTGTAGATCCGGCATGGTGATTGGCTCAGACGGTCTGTGCATCCCTGTGTCTGATTGGTTACAAAGTTATATGTAATACCCATTTAAACCAGGAGATGTCGCTCTCAGATGGACTTTACTGAACTCACAATGGAGAAATGTACATGTCACGTTTGGCATAAATAGAATCAATTAAATTTTAGTCTTTTTTGTGCAAGATTGATTATGTACAATACAATTAAAAGTGAATACTGCGAGTTTTTCAGTCGTAGTGACTTATTGTACAGTCTGACAGCGGTGGGGATGAAGGCCCTAAGGCAGAGGTGAGAAGAAGAGTTGGAGAATCAATGAAGCTTAGATATTTTTGTTCTTATTATGCTTCTATGACATTTACTGCTTATTCTGTTCTAGGACTCTCCATGTTTTGTGACAGTGATAGACTGTAGTAAGAAGGGTTTGTTTTTCATTAAATCAAAGTGTGCAAAAGGAAAACAAGCACATTCCTCAACAGCGCAAGGACAGAAATGCACATTAATGCACAAAATAGTATTGACCAAATTATTATTATTATTATTTTTAAACACATATACACACATACATACATACAGGGCTCTGCTATCAACTGTTTTTTATTTTATTTTTATCAATGGGACTGTTTTAATTAATTAATCGTTTTTTCATATATTTTTCATTTGTTAATTTTCAATAGTGACCAAATAGGTTTGCAGATCAGATGCTTTAAAAACAGAAAAGGAAGGTATTTTAAGGTTTTTTTTTCTGTATTTGTGTTGTTGTTTCTGAGCAGGATTTTACTTCCTGGTTGTGGAATTCAATCAGATACAGCTGGTGAGGTTCACATCAAACATTAATGTATTCCCCGGTTTATGTTATATTTTTAGTTTGTCTTGTGTTTTTGTATATTATGATCGTTATTGGTATTTAAAGGCAGCTGTTTTGTTTGTATTACGTCTGAATCTATAATTAACAAAAAGAAAAAAAAAGTTAGGGTTCACAGGGTGTACTGATGCTAATGCTAATGCTAAGCTAATATTAAACTCTGAATATGGTTTTAAAACGTTTAAAATCATGGATCTATTATAATAACGTTTAAAATATTCAGTCTAAATAAAGTCTAGTTGAGTTTCTGTGTGAAAGAATGAAAAATATTTTGGTGACTTTAGAATATATATTAATGAATCACTTCATGAATGTCAGGTTTATCTTTATTAGCAACAGAACATGCACAAACAATATTACAGTCTATGCCACAAACGCTTTGGAAAAATCATAAATATATCACATACATTTATAAAATAATGTTCAATAAATTCTCATGCTTATTTAAAAATCGATTATTTAGATTGCAAATTAGAAATATTTCATAGATAAACATTGCAATTAATTGAACATTTATAGATATATTTATTTTTTAGTTCTTGGCCAAAAAAAACGTACCGTTTGTTGCTGCAGATTGAAGAAGGACATAATATTATCTGGAGCAGTGTTCCCCAACCTTTTTGAGACATGACGCCAAAGTCATGTATCATATAGAAAATCAAACAAGCGCAAAAAAAGTCGGTCTAATCTCACTTTATTTTCTTTTCACATCACCTTAACCTTTAGGTGCTACTTTGATTATTCATGATTTTCATGCTGTATTGTTTCTGTCTTGATTTGTTGAGCACTTGGAGTTGCCTTGTGTATGAACTGTGCTATGAATGAAAATCCAGTTTTGATCTAGTCACACCGAAGTAACACATATTGAGGAAAATATGAAGTGATCTATTTCTGCAGAAAGAGGCTTTTGACACGACTAAAACTCATTTTGGAATCACTTTTATTTTTTGGAATTGTGCAGTTTTAGATTTCCCTAGAATCAATTAGTAGCAAGTAATTTGGCTTTCATCTTTAATACATGCTTGAACTGGTTAATGCATATGAAATAAAGCTGACCTAAATACTAACTATCATTGGGTGCAGCTCAGTTTGCCCCGCCCCCCGACCCAGAAATGGATTGATAAAGAGGAAGATAATGAATGAATGAATAAATACTAATGGATGCAAGTTAACAGGGTGTTGCTATGGTAACTAGCACTCTTTCCAAGCTGAGGTCGCTCGGAAACCAGTCTAGGATCGAGATAATTTCATAAACTCTTTTGCACTTGTGAGTCACTGTCCTGTACTTTGGCCTGAGAGCTGAGGGAGTGAGGGTGGTTCTCCCTTTTTAACTTTTCTGTCTGAAGATGCGACAGAGGTCAGGAATACATGCATTTCAAAACTATATTGAACCAAAGGAACTGTTTATATGAGCTTATTACATAGTTACATTTGTTGTGTAAGTTAGGTACCCCAGATTTATAAAGGTTGCCTCTCCTCCACTGTAAAAGTCCATCCCAGTTAAAGCTCGTCTCCTTTCAGTCATTTCAGGTCTGTGTCATAGTAGAAGACAGACTGCTGAGACAAAGGCCTTGATTCTGCTGTGGACACTGGAGACTTTCGGTTGTTTGAGGTCTCTGTCCTGAGGCGGAGAGGCCAGCGGGCCAAGGATGACCCATGCAGAGCGTGTTGGCACAGGTGAATGGAGGATTGAAGGTGGGTTGCTTGTGTTGTATGAAAGGATATTTGTGGGGAAAATTCTGTGCATCCCCAGGGAAAGAGGGACCGGCCGCTCAAACGGTTCTCATGACTTCACTGATGGACTGACGAGGATTTGCTGACTCTTATTACATCGTCAAAAAAATACATTTTCATAGCACTGTTATGTCAACACGATTACATAACTGCTACTATAGAGCTGGGTTTGAAGGACTTTGTTAGAAACTTTGCTACAGTAATACTCAGACTATACATAACTTGATGTGATAAGTAGTATTATGGATGTTTGTTATCTTATTATTATTATTTTAGTATTTGTTGTCATTTCAAAAACCCTAAATGACCTGTCATTGGCTCAGCATTACATTCTGCTCTTAAGTGCAGGCCTTTGGGCTCACAGAAGTAATTACCTTGGGTCCAGAGCAAGGAAATGAGACTGTCCCCCTGACAGTCCCTGAGGATCCATCCATGAATCAAGACACTTTCATAGAATACAGAATATGCTAAAGTAAAGAACATGTAAGACCTCAGTGGATTTGTCATTATTTATCTGTTATGATGTGTCACATGCTCAGCAGCTCCTACCTGCTGTGAGTCAGACCTGCAGATAAATACACTTTTGTTGACTGATGGTGGCTCGTGGTGCTTTGTGGATACACTCGACACAAGAGCAGTGCTACTTCATTTCAACAAATGTCAAAAATTTCCAAATCTTGCTGTCCATATAATTCCGCCTCCTTTAATGTATATAGATGTCAATACAAAATGCCATTTGTGAACACTATATATACTGTATAGTTGGCTACTACTGTATTATACAGTAATTGATCACTGAGCTTCAGCCTACCTTACACTAAAAAGCTAAATATTTGACTAAAGGCCTTTGGGCCTGAAGGTTGTGGGTTCGATCCCCTCAAGATACCCTCTCCAACTACTCCTTCTGTCTGCTGTCGTTGTGTCCTTGGGCAAGACACTTAACCCCACGTTGCCTGAAAGATCGAGGCTGTGTCATCATTAACGGAGCAGCCCTCTTTCCGTGGACTCACCTGCTGCAGGAGGATCAGCGAGGGTCTGGTTCAATGAGCAGACCCCCCCCCCCTGACCCAGGGAGTTTACCCCAGGGTTTGTAATAGACTTTTTGTCCAGGACCATTTCTGATTGATAATAATGACATTCTTGATACCACATCATTAAACACACACCACTCGTTGTGAGAGGGTGAAGGAGATTCATTTCAAAAGCACATCCCACATTTGCACATAAATTGCCTACAATAGAAATTTGATTTATTTTTTTTCATTTTTCATGGCAAAGCCGGTCAGGTCTGCAGTGCTGTGCAGGGCGTCAACAGAGCTGTCATTAAACTTTACAATGAAGAAAGTGTATGTTCTGCTTTACTCCCTTGAAGTAGTAGAAAGACAAAGACTGTTGTGTAACTTTAGAGACGCAGTGATGCTGTCAATAAAGTGAAAGTGCTGTATGTGGAAATGTATTGATCTCTTTTTGCCTTTACAGATGTGTGACCCGTGTCGTCAGAACAACCCTCCAAAGGTCATGTGTGGTGAACCTTGAGGTGAGTTATGTCATGGGAAAAAACAAAGAAACCAAAAAGGTGTTAGCAGAAACCTCAGCTGGCCTTTCAAACTGCTCACAGAAGGGACCCTCCCTGGGGAGTCCTAGAGATAATTTTGTTCAGTAATTCATATAATGTCATTACAGAAAGTACTATGTATGTCCCTCTGTAATTGTGTCTTCTTCCAGCTGCTCGGCCTTTGGGTTAAAACCACCTCAAAATGTAACATTAGGCAAAAGGGTGAAGGATAATGACTGAAGAGAGTTTTTTTTTCTTAAACTCAAACAACAAAGTAATCTGATGTTAATCCAGCGGTTATGGCCCCTGAGCATTATGTCAGCTCATCTCTATGTGTGCGAATATCTGTAAAACCACAGAACGGAGCGGAGCAGGTCCCGTTGGCTTTAAGACCATTACCTTCAGAAGCTCAGACCAGGCTCGGACCTCTGCATGTGTCTTTTGTCTGGACACGCCTGAGCATTCCCACAGGAGCCCTGCACAAATGAATGTGGTGCTGGTCAGAGCTGCGTCTCTTTCAGACACAATGGTTTTCTCATTGATCTGATGAAGTCTCTGCAGCGGCCCAGTGTTCAGTGATTCATTGATGAGGCTTCTGAATAATTGGCTGTGGAGTGTCCTGGAGGAGATGCTGCTCCTGTAGTGACCCAAGCCTCGTGATGATCCATGACCACAGCTCTGATCACATGATTATGGCCCTAAGGAGCTGAGGCGAGGAGTGATGTCACATTCTACTGTTGATAAAATACAAATACCAAAATGTTTGAATAGTTCTTTAATGAAATTATTTAAATCAGCGAAAGAAGCCCAGCAGACATTGTTCTGGACATAGGAAGACTTCTACAGAGGTCAAAATGATTCCAATCATCCCTTTAAGAGAAATACATGTTTTTAAAATATCTCTGCTAAAAAGTGTACATACTGCTTCTCAATAATGACTTCTTCTCTCGATTAAATATGTGCATTCATTGTCATCTATCAAAAATCTTCTGTATAAAAATAAGGAGTTCTTTACCTTATCATAATAACTCTCTTATTCACTCAAAACATTCCATTCTGATCCGTTCTTTCTTCCCACAGTTTCAGAGCGTCACATCCAGGAGCACAACCTTCCCAGAAGGTAATTAGCATCATACACGTTTTGTGTCATAGCAATCTCACAAAAAACTACAAATCTATTTTATTACACACAAGAAAGAACTTTTAAAAAAAAAATATGAAAAGAGTCTGGGTCAAGTTTGTGAAGAACAAATCGGTCTCTACGACCAACAGTGACTTTGAGGTTGAAACATAACGAAGCATCGTCTGAAGACGTGACTCATTGTAATGGATTTGTTTCTGTGATGAAAGAGTAAATACTTATATATCGGTCTGAATGTCTGTGGCAGTTTGTATAAAACTTACATGATGTGAAAATATAGAAACTTTAAAAGTTGACCTTTCATTTCAAGAAACATATTCTCCATTAAAGTCATACCTTTGGTGTCACATACAGTGAGGGAATGGAAACCTAATGCTAAATATACTTCACGGATCAAACGCTGTGTCCTGAAACCAGCCTGTTGTTCTTTAGTTTATTGCTCGAAACATTGATGGTGTTTGATCTCAGGGTTTTCTCACTCTCTTGTGGACTCCTTCGTTATGTATTGCTCTGTGTGTATTGATAATTATTATTGTTGAACAGATTTGAAGTTGGAGTCATTAACTTTATCAATAGTAAGAAAGTGCGTTCGATCAGTGAGTGAGTTTCCCCATTCAATTGTTTAAAACATGCATAGTTTGGAATTCAGTGACAGAAAAGGGACAATGAAACACACCTGGTATTGCCTTGAATCAAAGTCCCCCATGGTGTTTTCTACATAAGTCTGTTGAAGAGCCAGTCCTGCGCTGGGCCTTTATAAAGCTTTACCTTTAGCTTCTCATATTCGCTCTGGGACTGAAAGTACTGCTAATGACCATTGATTGATTCATTGATTATGATTTTGAAATATATTATAATATTCCTCTGCAGGGAAGTGTTCATGGCTCATCAGTGCGTCTAAAATCATTGCTTTGTTTTATGTTTCCTTTACTAACATCATGACAGCGACACACAAAGAACATGCTGAGTTTTGTTCTTCTTGTTTGCAGAAAAGCTAAGATACTTCACTTTAAGATCAAACTTTTGGAAATTGATACTGCACAAAAAACAACTTATGTAAGTCATTTATTTACACCTATCATGTATGTATAAAGTGTGATAGATCTTTATGATTCCCCAAAACAATAACATTGTCAAAAAGATTCAAGTTTCTATGAAGGAAGGTTTGTGTTCACCTTTTACTGAAGACATTGGTCTGTTCTGTTCTCAGCAGTTCTTTGCTCTGTCCTGTCGCTCCATCACAGCACTAGTCACTCTTCCATATGGCACCTTGCATTGCTCTGCATCCTGGGTCATATCTCTGACTCTCTGCGGTATGAGCGCTGCTCCAGGGGCCTGGTAGCTTGTAAACGCTCAAACTCATGTCTGCTGTTCCGGTCTGGACTGAGGTTTGCCAGTGGTCTGCTTCCACCTCCCACCTCCTCCTCCTCTTCTTCACGGTTGAGGAAGGCCAGCTCATTTTCATAACAGAAAGAGTTTGAGTTAGGAACCAGATATTTGTTCTCCACCATGTCCTTGGCACTGCAGCGAGGGGTGGACGGCACCTCATAGGTTTTATGAAAGTGGGAATAATCCACTTTATACACATTCTTCTCTTCAAACAGAACAGGCTCAAACCTGTGTCCCCACAGGACCTCAGAGGCCAAGTAGGAGCTGCGTGCCTGAGTGGTCATGGCTGTGGCCTCCACCATTCCTTCCAAGATCACTACAATCTCAAAGTCTGCTGATTCCAGATCCTGCTGACTGATCCCAAACAGTGGACTTTCCTCATCAATCTCATGGAGAATTGTTATTGGAGAAACCAAAAAGATCCTGTCGAGACCTTTGTCAAATCCTACATTAATGTCTATCTGATCCAGAGGGATGTACTCTCCCTCCTCCGTGACCCGAGGCTTGATCAGCTGCGCTCGCACGTGTGCTTCCACTATGTGGCTTTTCCGCAGGTTCCCGACTCTCCACATGAGACACAGCTTCCCGTCCCGCATGGCAATGACCGCATTATGGCTGAACAAAAGGGTTTCTGCACGCTTTTTTGGTCTGGCCATTTTAGCCATGATGGCGCCAATCATAAAACAGTCAATGATGCAGCCCACTATGGACTGGAAGACCACCATAAAGACCGCCACCGGACATTCCTCCGTCACACAGCGGTAGCCGTAGCCAATTGTAGACTGTGTTTCAATTGAAAATAAAAATGCAGCCACAAATCCATTAACCTGTAGCACACATGGAGTGAAGTTGTCATCTCCTGCTGGATTATCTAAATCTCCATGTAATAAAGCAATAACCCAGAATGCTGCACCAAAGGCCAGCCATGAAACCACAAAGACCAGGGTAAATATTACCAGCAGCCAGCGCCAGCGAATGTCCACACATGTGGTGAAGATGTCTGCCATGTAACGCTGGGATTTGTCATGCATATTGGAGAACTGCACATTGCACTGGCCATTTTTCTTAACAAAGCGGTTGCGGCACTTTCGGCGTGTGTGGATCTTGCCATTTCCAAAGCCATTCATACCATGCATGGTACTGAGGCGGAGACCCTCTTCCTCAGATGACACAATGCTGTAGCGGTTGATGCGGCCCACACTCATGCTCCTGACATGTGACTGAAGGCCAGCGCAGCAAGATCAGGGTCTCAGCTGCATTTGCCCCACACTGCTTTAGTCCAGGCCCTGTGGAGAATCAGCAGAGGGCAAACATGAGAGATGTATTAATCATGCAGCAACATATG